TTGTTCTGCAATTATCACTATCTGGTTTCCCTATAAATACTCAAAAAACCCACTCTAGAGTCTGTCCCCTTTGTATTATTTCCCTGCCACTCTTCTCTGACACATCCTAAACTTCAGGCTGCTAAATAAATTTGATTCAGGAGTGACAGTGCATTGTAGATAATGGTGTTCAAGCCATGGATAGAAGCTCAACCCCTGATGGCTGCATACATCGCTCCCTGACGTCACTGCTCCAAAGGATATACCCCTGTTTGAATTCCCACAGGACCTCCTTTGAAACCTCTGATTATAGTTCAGCCCTAAACTATAGAGAGAGCCAGCCTGATACATGGAACAGTGGGCCATGCTCGGATGTGTCCCAGGGACTACAAGGAGGCCATAACAGGGCTGGCACTTGCTGACCCATTCTCTCATTGCCATCCATCTCTCCTCCCACCCAGCCCCTCCATGACCCCTTGTCTCAGTTCTGCAGCACTCCTGGTTTAATCATAATCAGTTACAGAGGGCACAGACACCTCTGATGGGCTTTGATTGCTGTCTTTAACTCAACATGCATTCAGAGGAATTAGTCATCTGAACTCCTTCCTCACCTCCCAGTTTGCAGTGCCAGGCATGAAACACCATCATCAACCTCCTCAGACATTCAGTACCAGATAAGAACAAATTCTGTATGCAGGGACACTTACCACAGCTGCTTAATTGCACAGAGAACTGCAATCCTCATTCTAGACACATAGCCAGACACACATCATCAGTGCTCTGTCTCATGCTCTTTAGGTCTGCACAGACAGGACAGAGTACCAAACTCTTTCTCCAGAGCTCTGGCCAGAGCCAGCAGTGAGGAATAAAGAGATAAACATAAATTAAAGAGACCTTTAAAACAGCATGCAGGGAAGCCTAGGGCTGTGTGTTGGGTAAGAGAGAAAATTTCATTTTAACTTGAGTCATCCTGAAGATGCACTTTGAAACTTGAATAAACATTTTTTGCCATCCTGTTTCAATATGGATAGAGTTTTTTCCTGTCATAAATGCAGAAGTCAATCTCCAAAAGCAGTCCAGCAGTGTGACAGTTGCACAAGTCCACAGAATCCATGTCTCCTATGTCCTGGAAGTCAGGTTAGTGGCAAAAGCCAGTTCCACCATCCATTTAAATATGTCTGGGCTGTGGGTGGAAGATGTTGGTGTAGTCTTTGCACTGGTGCTGCTGAGGTCATGTCAGCACTTCCCTCCTGCTGAGTCTGTTGAAGAAGGAATGACTGGTTAGTCAAAGGAACAATTTAAATTATAGCATCTGGACACAGCTGCAGAGCTGCTGCCCCATGTCCTCAGTGGAGAGAGTCAGGCAGAAAGACAGAGGAACAGGAAACTGCATTAACAAGTCTGAACTTGGTAAAGTCCAAGTGCTTTTTTATCTCTTCATTGTCCACTTCAGACTGCATCAGTGTTCCAGGAGTTTGCCTGAAAAATCTGCTGCTTAGGTTTCTCTGAGAGCCATCCTTAATTTTTATCTTGAGCTCCATATTAGGGCAATGGGGAGATGTTACCAGAAAAAGTTGGAGGAGAAAAAAAAATTTCATCCAAATGGCCGATTCCAAAGTGATTTTGCTTCATTTTTCACATGGGATGAGAGGACATTCCTCATTTCAGAGCAAAATTAAACATCTTGTCAACCCCCCTTATCCATCATTGAAACTGTAACTAGGAGCTGAAGTGCTATGATGCTGTCTGTGCATGTGCTCTGCCATCTTCTGGTTCTTCCGTAGCCAGTTTTTTTGGCTGGAATTTTGGTAGGGAAAAGAATTTTAATATATAAGTTGAGGGAAAAGGTAACGAAACATGAAGGTGGAAGTAAAGAAATAATATTTTAATAAATAAAATATTAACAACAATTGCTATTTTTAACAATATATGCACAGAGCTTGCATCTACAGAGATCATAGAATCATAGAAGGGCTTTGGTTAGAGGAGGCCTTCAAAGATCACCTCGTACAACACTGCCTGCCATGGGAAGGGACGCCTTCCATTAGACCAGGTTGCTGAAAGCCCCATCCAGTCTGGCCTTGAATACTTCTGGGGATGGAGCAAATGTAAGAGGTGTTCCAAGGCGGCTTTTGTTTCACTGCCAGGCCATCTGGACACTTGCATATCCTTGAGGGAAGGCTGATAGTCTTCTTATGGGTACAGCACCCAAAGGAGAAAATCAGTGCTCCCTTCCCCTGTTTGCTCCTCCAAGGTTTCCTGCAATCTGTAACCAAACCACAAAGAGAGTGCTGATGTTCTTTTGAAACAGCCGCAAGTTCCTCCTCATTTAGAAATGCTGATGCACTTTGGATTTGGCAAGAAAACTTTTTTCTTTTTTTTTTTTTTTTTTTTCTGCAGGTGGTGAACAGACTTGGCTGATCTCAATCCAGGTGTTTAGATTAAATCAGTACCCATTTTAACTGCATTAAGCAGCTCACTAGCTGAGGTATGCATTTCCAAAAAAGCATGTGATGGGTTACTCAGGATAGCTGCCCTTGGCACATCGCGCTGCAGCAGGGCTGATGGCCAGCCCATAGCAGGAGATGGGTGGCATTGACATGTCCCCATCACTGACTGCCCCATCACTTTTGCCCCATCACTGCCCCATCACTGCCCCATCACTGCCCCATCACTGCCTGGGCAGCAGGTCTCCAAACCCACTTCCCCTGGGCTGCTGAACTGGGCAAGGAACAATTTCCATGTGAACCAGTTGCTAAAGCAGGACTAACTCCCTCAGCTGCTCCATCTCGAGGAACTGCTGACTTGGTGTCTGACACTGCCTGCAGGCTTCATCCTGGAATGAGTAACCCTTCAAGAGGAAGACAACCCCTAAACAGGGCTGCAGGAAATAGGGTGCATGACTCCATAATGAAACACGTTGTCATATGCTCACTGCAGTAATTAAAGGAAGGGGAGAAGAAATCCCAGTAACTCTTTATAAAGAAACGCATGAGGAAAGGACTGCCCTTTCAAACCCTTCTTTTCATGAAGTTTTCCACAGTAATATGAAAGTTAAAATATAAACCTATTGCATTGATGTCAATACAGAAAAAGCAAAGTCAGTGCCATGCATACTGAGTACACTGAGTCCCATTCTCAAGGACACAGCTGCTCAGTCAAGGGATATCGTTTGTAAAAAAGATCCCACAGTAAAAGGAAAAATGGCCATGTAAACTAAGATCTTGTGAGAATACAGCTTATAAAGCTCTGGGTTATTAATATTAAACGAAATTGAATGACAAACTTAAACACCTACAGGAGTTCCTTAGTTGATATAGGTTTAGGTTTGTGAAATGTAAACAGTTTCTTTAAAAAAAAAAAAAAATCTGCAGATCCACATTTTTGTGTTGGGTTCTGCAAAGTCCTGTGCTGACATCAAGTGGTGACATATTTTTCATGCCAAAGGGAGCCAGGCTGGCTGTGCTGCGTATGCATGGGCTAATATTCATTATCACGAGAAGGTACAGGCAAGTGGTCCCAGGCCACTGGGGGACTACAGCAGCAGCCTCACTGGCAGGTGCTCCCGTGGGGAGGGACAGCCAGAGGAATGTGGAAAAGCAACACAGCCCCTGCAAAGCAAGGCAAGGGGGGTGAGGTGAGCCTCCACAGTGACTCCTGGACACAGGAGGTGCTGTCTGAGCCCCCAGCGTCCACCAAATGTGACCACTGGCAAAAGCTCTCCCTTTCCTGGCCAAGAAAGCTCTGGCTGGGTGAGGTACAGTGGGGCTTGGTGGCCTCAGGGGACTTAAGAGAGCATGGAGAGCTCATTTACTGAGGAAAGCTGGACACAAAGTTAACCAGAGGATGGGAGGGTCTCTTAATTAGTTCTGCAGAAATATCAAAGAGAGCAAAACAAATACGTAAGGTCATGAACTGGCTGTGAATAAAATTAAACTTGGTATTAGAAGAGTTTTAACTCCAAGTAAACTTCTGGAACAACAGGCCTGCAGAAACTACAAGAAAACCCTCCCACAATGGAGTTTTAGAGTGCAGGTTGATTATTTGCTGCAGGTATTGAAGGCTGTGATGTGAGATGTAACATCAGCCCTGGATTGGTAGGGGCTTGGTGAGGAATGTGGTTTGTTTCCCTCATTGGCCTCAATATTCACTGAAGCTTGTTTTCAAAGGCGCAATTGATGGGAAGTGCAGTTTATTTGTGGATTTACCCATGGATGTTCAAGTCAATCATACTTTATTAAAACAACTCCATACGCAAATGATAGCTGGGGATTTATTATATGAAAACACAGAATGGTCCTAGTTTGTAACTCAGATTAAGTACAAAACCACTCTTCCTCTCCCTGGTCATTGCTCTGAGTGTAGAAATGGTTTCCTGCTCTTCTCAGGATCCAGCCTATTCTGGGAGCTCTGCAGCAGCACTGCCATTGTATGCCAATGGGTTTATCCTTCCTCTTGTCCAGGGCTGGGAAGCAGGGACACGCTGTACACAGGGTGCATATCTCAGCAGCCCAGGGAGTGTTTCTGTCCTCTCCAAACCTACACCTCCTTTCACAGACTCCATCTGCTGTGCATCTCTGTGTGACTGGGATCCTGACGTCGGGAAACTTTTTCCATGCTCTCCTTCATGGCTGGGCATTATAAACCTAAGAGTGAAAAAGAAAAATGCCATATCCATTCAGATGCACCCCTTGGGGAGAAAATAATGTTTGTGGTCTTGGTTGCTCCAGAAGGTGGTGGGATTTACCCATTGCAGCTAAGCCTTGGTAAATGTTTTGTGAGGACAACGTACTAAAGGGCCATGTCGGGTAATTGGTCCCTGGGGTCATTGTCCAGCCTGTGCATTGATATGGTACAAAGAAATGTCTGTGCTGTGCTTCTCCACCCACGCTGTGTTACGGTAAGTGAGCGCTGTGGCATGGGAGGAACGTCCAAATCTCGGAGCAGCTCCCAGAGGCGCTGGCAAAGGCCCCACAGTCAGCCAGGGCACGGAGAGAAGGGGACAGTTGCACTGCTGAGCTGGGCGTTGATCTCTTTGGTTTAGGTTGGGTCCCCATGTGTTGACATTGCAGCCAGGACTTGCCCCTAGAGGTTTTGTTTTCTCATAAGCAACTGGACTTTAAACTTCAACATCTCTCCTGCAGCCATTTCCCACAAGAGCTGCAGGAATGCAGGCAGGCACCGTCAGGCTCAGAGGGTAACAATGGCAAGGTGCTCTTGGAAAATATTCTTCCTTCTCTCTGCCCTTTTCCCTCAGACAGAGCAGGCAGGTATGGCTTTTGTTTTGTTGCACCTTTAATTCTGATTTGTGCTGCTGCTTTTCTAAAAACACCAGTTATTTTATACCTTGTATAATGTTTACCTTGTAGCACAGAGTGAAATCAATGAAAACAGTCCATTCCTTATTTTCTTTAAATTTCTGCTGTTTATTTCATGCAGCTAAGTGAAAACTGCTATAGGCTAAAGGGGCAATGTAATTTTTAAGTACCATCATGTATGCCAGGGTAATGTTTTGTCTTTCATTACAGTTTTTAGAGTATCCCAGATATTAAAGCAAATTTTGTTTTATATTTCTACCTCCTGCTGAAGTAAAAATGAGAGACTCCTATGGAAGAGGCCAATGTGCATGTTTGTCATAGCTTGAGGAAGTCTGTGTTTCTGTATTATTCTCCATGGTTTGTCAAAAAATAAGGAAGAGCCAGGCAAGGAAGAAAAAGATGGTGTTCTCTTAAGAAAGTCAAAACACCCTGCAGCAGAAGTTCACTGCCAGCTGTGCTGGATGTAGCAGAACCACTGCACAGCAGAAATATGTGCTGGGGGTCAGATAGAATTTAAAATGCAAAACAGAGTCATTAAGCTTTTCTTTTTTTAGTATCATGTGCAAGCCAGTTGCTTATGGGATAGCGTTCAAAAAGATAACTAAATATCTGTACACAGTTCTGGAATAATTTTGCTATTGCTCTCACTTTTTCCAGTTCTATGATTATTGATTACTTCAACCAGCAGTGTTGTGTCCCCAAACACTGTATAAAAGAGAAAAAAACCCTGAACATTCCCTGCCCAACACATTTACTTTCCAAGCACAGACAAATGCATGCTGACACACACGATCACACATTGCTTCATGTGGAAGATGAGGCTCCAGGGTGGCACCAGCTGCCCGGCAGTTTTTGATGGAGGTATTATTTGCAAACCTCTCTGAAAGGTTACAGTGTCTTCCACATAAACAGTGGCATGGGATATAGCCCTCTTAACTATGAGCATTGCTGAGGGGTAGTTTTTATTTACTCTCCTTAACAGAGAATTGATTGAGAACTCAGCAATGTCATGGCTTTGCCCTCAATAAAAAAAAAAAATTGCCACGAACTAAAACTGAAGAGCAGTTTTGGATCCACCATCATAACTTAATACCACTAATATCCACTTCTACCAATGCATCTGAAACCCCTGTGCAGTCTCACAAAATAGCCTTTGTCTTTTATAATAATGTTTTCCCCCTTTCCCTGGCTGTGACCCCACACTCTGTTCTGTATGTCTCATGCAGTAAAACAATGTGCCAGGAACGGTTTCAAATTCCCCCTGCTTGGGAGCAAGTCAGGCATTCCCCAGAAGCAAAAGGTCCCAACTCCTCAGCTGAATTTGTGCTAAGACATTAGAGCTCTTTAAGTATGTAAGTTTTATGTGGCTGAAACCCCAAATCAACCAAAATTATTTATCTCAAAAAAAGAAGGTAAAAATATATAAGGAAATTAATCTAAGTACTTATATTAGTGTTTTGTCATACAATGTTCCAGTATTTATATCAGCTCATGATGCAAACAGTGTTATCAAGAGACAGAGACGTGCCAGTTCCCTGCTTCTGGAGGAAGTCCTTGAAGGCAGCTTGGAAAGAGAATGCCTAGAAGAGAGATGTACACATGAAGAAGCAAGGGAAGTATTTGAAGATGATGAAATGCTCGTAAGTATTTTGTTTCCCTGCATGCACAATAAAAACTGCTTCCATGATCCTTTATTTGTGAAACACAAGACTGCTTCATTTGTTTGGGTTTCTCTCCATGTGAAATCTTTGCATTTTCCACCTCAGCAGGTAGCAAGCAGGTGTTTTCCATGGTCAAAATGGAAACAAGGAGGTCAGTTCTGATATTGTTCAAGTCTTCTCCTGAAAATGATGTGTCATGCTCCTTGTGTTAGTAAATCACATGGCTGTTGTCCTATTCTGACCACACAGAAATACAGTTTCAGCATCCCTTAGGGACCAGGAGGGGCAAAGGGGTGCTGGTCAGCAGAAGAGCACCTGGAGGGCAGCACAAAGGAATTCCATTCTCTCCAGCCAGTAAATTGGCTTCATCAGGGCCCGACTCAAATCCTCTATGCAAATGCATGCAGCATGGGAAATAAATGAGAGGAGTTAGACTTGTGTGGGGCACTGGAACTGTTGTCCAGAGAAGCTGTGGATACCCTGTCCCTGGAAGTGTTCAAGGCCAGGTTGGATGGACCTTTAAGCAACCTGGTCTAGGGGAAGATGTGCCTGCCCACAGCAGGAGATTGGAGCTAGATGACTTTTAAGGCCCCTTCCAACCCAAACCATTCTCTGATTTTATGATTGGGAGAGAGGGAATCAATGCACCAGCAAGTAGTGGGACCTATAGAGAGAGGCTCACTTGGTGAGTAGCTGCAAATTCCTTTGCACCAGGGGCTCTCCAGACACAGAGATGTCTGCCGTGCCCTTTAATGGGAATCTGGATGGAGTTTTGTTTGCAGGGAAAGCAGAGGAAACAGCTGTAGGGCTGCCCATGGGCAGCCGTGGCGCTTTGGGAAAGGGAGGGGTGGGCAGAGGTGTCACTTTGGGGAAAGCAGCTCCAGGGTCAGCTGCAGTACCCAGGGAGATGCAGGGCACAGGGTAGTGGTGACAGCAGTGGTGCCCTACAGCTCTGCTCTATGCTGACCACTCTGCCTCCAGCAGCACCTGCTGGGGGCCAAGTGGGATGGGACAGGATGGGGTCACTTCCCAGGCTGCTGCACACCAGAGAGACAACAGCCAGCCAGTTTTTTTCAGGGAGCTGCATTGTTAAAGGATCCAGCTGTTCCTCTGTGGCCTAAGAAGTGTTTATTTTCCTGTACTGCTTCTTAAGAAACAATAAAGTAAGCAGTAGGCAAAGCACTTCCCTTCTCATGTGTATATTTGCTAGCAGCACATTATAGTTGTGCAGCTTTGTAAATATTAAACCACTGTATATATTCTCTCATAACATGTTTTTTGGTTTAGCAAAGTATTTATGACATATTACATTACATGGAAATTAAATATTTTCCTAATTTTCTAATTTCCTTTTTTTTTTTTTTTTTCTTCTCTTCACCCAGAATTTGTTTTGGGATATCTACTATGGTAAGCTGGCCTCTTGATTTCTCTCCTTCATAGTCCTGTCACATTATGAACATTTTGATTCAGACTAATACTGATTTTCTAAGAGTTTATACTATGAGAAACAATCAATCTCTATTTGTCATGTCTGTAGTAAAGCAGAAGGAAAATTCTGCATGCGAAATGATATTTAAAAAGTAATATACAGGAAAAACCATTTAAAGCTGCAAAAACAGTTAAAGTAGAAGGTAAGTAAAGGATATTATAGTAAATGGGCTACTTCTTTTCCTGAATCTGAAACAGCCTAGGCAATGAGAAAGTATGTTTTGCTGATACAATACAGCAGCACAGTTTTACCAGCAAAATCTCCCAAATACAGAATTAGCACTTAAACCTGAGCAAGATAAATCGATATTAAAAGCTACTGAGCTGTCTACAAACTCTGCACAGTGGGATTGCATCATTCCCTGTCACATGCCAAGGCGAGAAACAAATCTGTAGAAGCTGAGGGCTTGATGTCAGGCCCTGAACAGGATGCCATCTGAACAAGAAGCCTGTGGCACCAGCTTATGGTGACTAGTCCCTATTCCCTCCCTTTTTTCTGTATGCTTCATCCCAAGTTTTTATCTTGTTTTTAACTTAGCTATTATTAATTTCTAACCTTATGGTTAAAGAATGGATAAGGAAGTGGCAAAATCAGCAGTCAGTAATAATTTTCTGCACAAGCCACTAAATTACTGAGTCCTGGGAACCATTGCATAGAAGAATCCCATCAGTGCTATAAGGTTATGAAGAATGTTGCTAAATATCTGGCATTTTATTACTTTTGTGAGGGTGGGATTAATTTCTAATTTGAGTCATTGAATATTTGTACTAAGCATGTCATGCAGGCTTCCTCTCTAGCCTAGGATGGGAGAAGGGCAACCAGTTCAGAATGGTCCCTCCAAACAAGCTTAGCCACAATCAGAACACATTACTGACTTCAGCCTCAGAGGTGGCTTTTTTGCTGTAATTAAAAGCCATGTGTTCTGTCTTCTTCCTAAAGAACAGCCGTGTGTGTTTCCTTCTCTGTGATGTCTTCTCTAACATTTTGGAGAGTGTTGCCTTTGAAAAGTGGCTTCTTTCCTCTTCGCTAAAAAAACACATTTTTTCATCCTGTCTTCCAATAATCTCATTTTCTAGACCTCTGATATCCGTGTTGCTTTCCCCTGAAAGTCCAGGGTGCAGTGGATAAATCTGCATTGTGAATAAAAGAGGAAAGGCTGAGCACCCACCTAACTGCTGGGTCACCTACCAGCTCTGTTCTGCACTGCTCCACCTTTGTCCCTTCAAGTCAAAATTGATGTAGTGGCATCTTGCTGAATGTCTGCTGTCAGAGCACTTTGCCTGACTGTTGTTGCCTGCCACTTGTTCCCAGCCCTCTTTTATCAACAGTATAAACTTAGCCATCGACAATCTCTCTTTAAACATCACTTTCCAAAAGTTTTGTGCATGCCTTATAGAAGTCTGCTCACTGAATGACAATGTCATTGGAGGCATTTCTATTGTATGATGTTCACTGATTCCCCCTAGATCCCTTATCCTATAATATGATCAGATTTAAATGGTTTGAATTATTTGGTCTTGAAAAGTTTATGTTGATTTTTACTTCCCACCTTTTTATATTGCTGTGTGCTTATAGTTTAATCATAGCTTGCCAGTAACAGAAATCAGGCCAATTTCTCTATATTTCCTTGAATCTTCCCTTTCCTCCTTTAATAAAGCTGGTGCTGGATTTCTTTTCTTCCCAACACGGATTTCAGAGGCTTGACTACATCTAATTGCTTCAGGCTGCAGGGGTAACCCCTCCCTAGCTCCAGCTCCTCAATTCTGCCTGCTGAGCTGTGCAGGTGAGATTCCCCCAGTTCACCCAAAAACCCTCCCTGGAGGCCTACATTGTGCTTGGATATGCTGGTGGCATCTGACTGCAGATGGGCTGAAGCTGGTAGCTCTTTCAGCCAGTATTTTAGTACATCTAACACTCAAAGATTTGTGTGCCCATAGCCCAAGCAGATGATGATTGGTGTTTTATTCCTGTAGCTGGCAGAGTTTTCACTTTTTCCATCCCTGAAATCAGGTGGGGCAGCTTGCTGACTGAATTAACCTCTCTGACAAGGTGCTCATTTTTAGAAAGGTTGGACAACATGTCCCAGGTTAGGCTCTCCTGGCTTGTTTACTGATTGCCTATGTCTATAATAAGTAGTTGTTACTTGGATCATGTTTTCAAACTGCTTAGGAGTCATTCCTGTGAGTAGCTTGAAGGAAACTGGCAGCTCTGACTGGTGCTTCACTCTCAGTGAGGACACCCTCTTGTTTCAATGTTCAGTTCAGCTTGCTAGTGTCGGAGCTGCTGCATGATAATTGTGCAGATATACAAAAGTTATATTTCCTCCTATTTTGATGTTGCTTGCTGTACACTTGCTCTGTAATTTTGATGCCAGCTTTTTCTATCCAGCGCATATCAAACTAATATGGGAGACCTAAAACAGCAGTCTTATATTATATTTCTAAAAAAGCAGGAACTGTAACTCAGTTATTTTCCCTGAATCAGGACATCCATCCTCCAGAAGGAGGCTCTGCCTCTGGGCAGCTCCCAGCCCCTCTGACAGGGGCTGCAAGAGTGCCTCTGGAAGCAGATTTGAGCTAAAATTACCCCCGAGGAGCAGTTCAGTGACACTTAGCCCATTTCCTACCAAACTGCCCTCTCAACCCTTCTCTGAACAGCTCATGTGCCAGGATGAGGACTGTGTAATTTGAGATCAGTGCTGGTGGCGACTGCTCCCTCTCCATTTCTCCAGGTGGCAGGAGGTGCTCCTCAAACCCCTGCCAGCACAACGGTGTGTGTGAGGACAGCATCCGTGGCTACACCTGCACCTGTGCTGAGGGCTACGAGGGAGAGAACTGTGCTTTTGGTAAGCATTGCCTCCTTCTGAGAAGCCCCATCTCGTCTTGTCACAAGGTGTCCCCATGAAACCATACACAGCTCTCCCGTGGTGCCACTTACCATGGTTTCGGGTAACGCACACAATTCTGGCAGAGCAGGGTGATGTGTGCTGCCTGGCTACAAAACCTTACAGCATCCTGAGGCTCTGCCGGCTGTCCCTGTGCCCTGAGCCTCCCTTCTCCAGGAATGCAGCAAAAGAGCTGAACCCAAAGCACCTCATGGGTACACCCCAAAGCCAGCCCTGCCACTGCCACCTGCGCTGCCTGGCTGCTCGTCCTGCTGTGCTCCCAGGTGTGTGGCCCGAAGGACGAGGCTGCAGTGCCAGGGTGGCGTCCCAGGCACCCTGGTGCCTCTGAGGCCACACACACCCACAAGTCAGTCCCTCAGGACAGAAGGACTCCAGAAAACAAACTGTTTCCAGTGGAAGGGAAAAGCATAAAGTAAAACAGATGCGTTCTGGCACAGGAAAACCCTGGGCCAGATACATTTTTATATCTGCCAGGTTGTTCTTTCCAGCCCTGACATCAGTATTTCTGCTGGTTGAGAGTCCCCTGGGGTGGGAGACGCCCTGGCTGCAGAAGGCAGGGTCGCTCTCTGTGTAAGGGGTGTGACTGTGACCAGCTTCTGGAGGAGCACAGAAGGTGACACAGCTTGGACAAGAGTTGGGAACTAGATCATCTCACTGTGAGACTTAGTCATCATGTTCTACAAGATTTTTTGCTACCTATGAGCTAGATCAAATAACACTTGCTCTGTGCTAAAGAGTTAAGTGTTTGCTTAGCTATGGAAAGTTGAGCATGTTTCAAAGTTCATAATCCCTTTCTTTTTTTCTTATCTTTGATAGCTGATTGTTTCAAGGAGTGTGCAAAATGAGTGCTACGGGTTTTTTCCAAAACCAGAAACCTTAGCTGCCTTCCTCCTCGAGCAATACTTGTCTTCATGACGTGCAACAGTTCTTGCTGCAGATACTTGGTGTTTTGTTTAAAAACCCATGACACCCTTTCCCAGAACTCAGAGGTGCAGTGTCTGGTGCAGCGAGGTGCAGAGGGGAGCACAATGAGTCTGTGAATGCTGCAGAGACTCAGGTCTCTCCAATTTCTGTTTTACAAGGGGAAAAAATCCCAGTGGTAAATACTACCAAGTTAGAGTCCCAACCCACATCCACACAAAGTGAATAAAAAATATAACCTAGAGGTCTCAAGCGATGAAAGAATACTCCACATTTTTTTCTCTGCTTATTTTGTTTAGCTAAAAATGAATGTCACCACCAAGCAAAGGTAGGATGTGACCACTTCTGCTACCCAGGAAGTGATTCCTACCGCTGTTCCTGTGCTGATGGCTACGAGCTTGGGAAGGATAAAAGACGGTGCATCGCATTAGGTTGGTGTGAGCACGGACATAAAGGGGGCACCTGCTCAGGCTGGGATGGGCAGACCACCATCTAACAGATGTGATCAGTCTGCTTCGAGCCTAAAGCAATATTAGTGGCTAGAAAAAGGAATCTAGGGACCACCACCCAAGATGCCAAAGTAATGGTAAAAGAAGGGCTATTTGATCAGAATGTTTAAGTATGAATCAGCTGAGAGGACTTGTACCACCCTACACATCACTCACTGGACCAGGTTTTCCACTCCTCTTTGGAAAAGGGTAATTCTGCTGAATGCCTGTTTGCTTGGGAATGAGATTCAGTTGATTCCCATCAGGTGACCAATGGTCTAATAAATGAAGGGAAACATTTGCTGCCATATTAATTAGCTTGAAACAGTAGCCCTTTTTAGTTCTTCAGTCTCATATTAGGTATCTCATTAAATATCATCCCCTTACAAAGTAGGTCTACTAAAACCACAGAAGTATATTTAGACCTGTGTCTGTATTAGCACAAGTGGGGCAGTGAAATCAGAGTTCATCTGTAAAGCCACGCTTTTTGCAGTGAAAGACTGATGTGCACACTCAATGCACACTTCAGGTGGGCTTTACATCCAACTGGCCTAGTTCAGTCCTGTGGACTAAGCACCAGCCAGCTGTTAGAGCATGTCATGTGTGCACCTGGAAGGTGTCCTGAGGTTTAGCTTCACCTGAACAGAATCCAGTGTGCTTGACCCAGACCCAAACCCAAACCAAGTGGAAATGTGACAAATGCAGACAACTGGGTAATCCAGTTGAAAAGCATGTGTTGTTTAAACCAGATGAAAAAGGCATGCACATCCCTAGACTGACAGCTGTAACAAGGAAAACCCAGGATTTACCTTGTCCAGACTGGGCCATAGCTCTCAGGTATTTAACACAATTTGAACACAGGATACAAAGGGGAAGAAAAAGCAAGATGTGCTAATGGTTGGCTGGAGGGGAAATCTCATTTCATTAGTGAAACGAAGCACAGTGAAACCTGGTCACTACAAGCCTAACAGGGTGACCATGTTCAGCCCATTGCTAAGCTGCTATGACTACAAGTGCCAAACAAATTATTCCAGTTTTCACCAGCTGAGAAATTGCCATTCTCCTTTTCCTCTGTGCAAAAGCAGAACCCCAAAGTCTAGGCGGAACAGTAGGCATTTGCAGGTATTAGCTATCTTGAAATGATATTGCTATCTTGAAATTATACAATATGAAGTTTTGATTTTTTTTTAAAAATTCATTTGTTAGATGCATGTGCATGTGGCAGACTTCAAGACAGTGATAACCTTATAAGTGAAACCAGGAAGAAAAGTGATGAGCGATTTCCTTGGCAGGTATTCCTAGCAATTCATGAAACCCATCACTTACCCTCACATGGATAGTGCTATGTATTGTTTTTTGCATTTTCTTAGGTGCTGCTGCTAAACTCGGAAGGGAAAGGCTTCTGTGGAGGAGTGTTGCTAAAAAGTAACTTCGTGTTGACCACAGCAGAGTGTGCCCTTCTGCACAGCCATTTTCAAATCAGGGTTGGTGCTGGTAGGTGATCCAAAACATCTTTTCTTGCTGCAGCACATTTCAGTATTGACAAGCTAAATTTTAAGAAAGCTTACTAAACTTCTTGCTGCATAAAAATATTGTTAAAGGAAACAAATATGATGTTATTTCATTTAAGCACCTCAGTCAAGTATCTGAGCTATAACTACAGTCACCTCACATTCCCCTTTACAAGGCAAGCAGAAAGTGCCTTTGAGCACAGTTCAGAACTCAGCACCCAGATGGTGGATTTGTTTCAAGTGGTGACTTGTTTCACGGCAAAATTCACATCAGTGCTGGATAGTCATCCTTACTGCTGAAATGATTTGTGCTCCTACCAGCATTAAAAAGCTGCCAGTGTATTATTCCTCATTTCCCTTTGCTGCAGAGGTTTTGAGGAAGAGCACTTTTAGATCCCCTGCTGTACGTGTTTCTCATCATGATCAGGCAGCTTGCATGCAGCTTTCAGGTCTCTGATAAACTATTCCTAAGAGCGGTCAAACGTCATTGCTCCACAGGACCTAATGGAACAAGTGGAACTGGGGAGATAATGCAAGTTAGTGAGAAGCACATACACATCCGGTACGATGAAGACACTGGTGAGAACAACATTGCATTGCTACAACTTCAAGGGCATGTTGAGTGTGACAACTCCCACCTTCCTGTGTGCACCCCTGAGAGAGACTTTGCAGAACATGTTCTAATTCCAAAACTGGCTGGTACAGTCAGCGGCTGGAGAATGGAAGGTGATGAACTTCAAGGTGAAGAGCTGAAGGTTTCATACCTTCCTGCTGAGGACTGCAAACAAATACTCAACATCAGCCTCACAAACAGGCAGTTTTGTGGGCACCTGCAGGAGGCTGTAGACAAACGCCTGGCTGGAGGGAGCTTTTTGGTTACTGAATACAAGGGCACGTGGTTTCTGACTGGTATCCTGGGATCCTGGCCGCTGGAAGACACTGCCTGGGAAACACTGCTTTTCACCAACACTGCAAGGTATATGGTATGGGTTAAACAAAAAATAAAGTAAGACACAAACACAACCAACTCTCAAGCAGCAAGCCCCTACCAATTGCTGCAAGGAAACATATGGATGCAGGCAGTACCCCCATTTGACTCTACCACTATTTGCAGCATTGGAAGTTGCAAGAATGACATGTGTTTAACTCTAGTTTATACAGAAAAGCTTGTTCGTCTTTCCTTCTGCTGACACACAGTACTGTGAGTAATGATACAGTAAACCTAATTATTGAACTAAAAACTGATTTAATTTCAAATTTCCTAGAACTGTTCATCCTAAACCTCAAAACATGTTGACTATTTTCTGTGATTTCAAATGTTGCTAGTATCCTGAGGTTTGATTCAGCAAATTTATATTATTTCAGGATCCATACAAGTAAAACTTAAAATACATGGGGAATGTCAAGCTTTTAAATGTCTATGTTGAGGTAGCACTTGACATATTCATCACACTAAAAAATGCTTCCCCCCCTCACACATGGAATCTATGTTTTCCCTTATGAATGATGCCAGTTAGAGGGTAAAATAAAACCCAACTGTCAAAGACAACAAAAAATAAATGTCTCATTTGTTTTAAAAATAATTTTTAAACCCCAAAACTAAAATCTCATCAGTCTGGACAAAGTAATATTGTACCACCTACAAACAAACCAATCCCCAGGGTAGTAATACTTAAAATAATGGGTCCAGTGGTAGCGTTCCCCCCAGAAGCAAAATAAAACAGAGTATGAATAATTTAGCTACATGAGTTATTGTTCATCCTAACAAAAATTAAACAAAATATGACCAGATTTTAAAAAATCCCACAGCCATCTGTGGTTTATACTCAAACCCATAAGTATTACTGACACAGTAAAGCTTTTGGTGTCACACTTCTCTATTTTTTAGAGACAGTTTGAAGAGAGTATTTAATACCAGCAAAATTATTGAGACTTAAAAAAAATTTGGAAACCATGTAAGAAAATATTACTTCCACTCTGAACAATGGATTAACACAAGTAACAAAGGCTGATACTTCTCTCTGAAGGACAAACACAGAAATAGTATGATGAAGTACTTTATAAAAGCTTTTAAGTAGTTGGGAAGGAATTTGGAATGCTTTGCTTTATTTCTTCACGAGATACTTTGAATTATCTAGAAAGCCTGTGGAAACTACCACTTAAAAGTCACATTTAATTTCAATGCACTTTGTAACACTGGCAGCCTTGGCCATTCTGGGAAAGGAGCCACAAACAGTTCCTGGTATTTCAGTCCTGGACATGAACCAGGCCATTTACAGTGTTCTTGGGGTCACTGGGAGCAGTTCCACTGGGCAAGCCGAGTATCTGAAGAGTACTTGCATGGCTAAGATGCAATACTCAACAACACACTGTTGACAGTGGAGGAAATGGGTTCTGCTTGCTGACCACAAGCTTCTGATGCTGATGGGATATGTAGCCTTTAATGTGACCCTGGCAGAAGGAGAAAAAAGCAGTGTTAGTACTTAGAGCTGGTAACAATCCCTAGAACCCAAGCAAACACCTACAAGCAAAGCTGTTTATGCTCACTCACCACTGCACTACTGTACTTAAATATCCATCAGGGTCCAGTTTAGGTAACTGGGTCACCTTGGAGAGCAAGCACAAAGTTGTTTGTGTACTAAACGTGCTGTCAGATTGAGAGCCTCTTGCCAGGGCCCCCCATGGGTCTGCTAACACTGCCTCCAAGAGACAGAGCTCTACAGAAGTGTTTCTAAATTCACTCTTGTTCACTTTAAAAACAGGATTTTAATCAATTAGCATTCCATAGCTAATAAACTGACACAGTACTTCCTTTTCAGCATAGTGTTTTAACAGTGAAAGAAATCTCCCAGTGACCTAGACCACATCAAATAATGCTTCAGAAACAGAGTACTGTTAATTTTCTTGCCGACACTACAATGATGCTTCACAACCTCTGATTTAATAAAAATACTTAGATTTCAAGCTTTTATCCAACTCATAAGCAGTTGAGATTCACTTAGAGTAAAACAGAACCAAAGAAATCTGGCTCTATTTTTTTTTTTTTCTAATTTGAGAAGACCAAGAGTCTTGTACTTCAAATGCAGAACAAATCTTTTTGGTGCCACTTGAAAGGTTTGTATTTTTAAATCAATGTTTCTGCATATATAGAAATGTCAGTATTGAATTTGTAATATGAAATTCAACTTCAATTTTAACTGATTCCTGCAAAAAAAGGCAGGAACTAGAGGAAGTCCTCAGGGCAAATGAAAACATTTCACTCTGAGCACAAGTCTCTCAAAAAAAAACCACAAGAAAACCTGGGATTACTGATGTATTTTTTGTCATAAACCATTATTCTCTAAAATTTTTCAATGTCGGAAGTCCGGAATCACCAGACAACGAGTGGTCAGCACTTACCAAATATATGAGGTTAGCTAAAATACATTGGACTTCATCAATATCAACATCATCTACTTGCATGAACTTCAGAGCAATCAGAAAAGCATCTAGAGATAGCTGATGAGTTTTGAGTAGTAAATATCTGAAAGAAACAACAGGAAAATGTGTTATTGAGAAATGATCACTTAAAAATTCTGTTTCTTAGAAAAACAGCCTTTCTATGATAAATTCACCTTAACATGAAGTCAGCTCTCTCAGAGAACTAAGGAGCACATACAATTCTACCCCAGTCCCAGGTGAAACCATATTAAATCTGCTTTTGCAAAAATGTAGGTTTTGTTATGCTTACACTTTCTTGAAGAGATTCCTGTATGTGATGATTTTCAGCTTCTCAAGGATAAGAAAGATTCCACATCGAATAAAGAAGGTCTCATGCTTTGTCAGAGCATCATTCAAAAGGAGAAGATTTCCTTCACTGCAAGGAAAAAGAAATGAAAAAGTGAGAAGGCCTCACACCAATGGGAAAAGAAAGTATGACTTGGTAGGAATATGCCCCTCCTGCCTTCCTCAATCACCCCAAAGAAACACTTTTTACTCAATACTTTTTAAACACAAAGCAGAAAAGCAAGCATCATACCTCACAGACTTTGTTACTTCAGCAAACTGCATAAGGTCATACTTTTTTAAGAGCTGAACTGTTGGCATATGGCCCTGAAAAAATAAACAGTGTCCAAGTTTTCCACGGTAAAGTTAAGTGCATTAAAAAAATAATCTAGCTATGAAAAAAATTTAAGAGAAAAAAAGAACCTTTAACCACTTTTTCTTTTTTGTACAGACTACGAAGTGAATAAAAGTATTTGCAAGACAACTCCCTTGTCCCTCTCAAACACCTCATAGCATAACTCACAATAAATACTGATTTATCATGATTTAGGGATGATTAATACTTAATGTTAGGGAACAACTATCAAATTTGTAGAATCAAGATCCTGTGACATGAGGCCTTGGCAAATTCAAATTTTATGTCATGGTTGTATCATCTAATCTACAAACAGAAGAACTGCAGGACTCATAAAAAGAAAAAAAGTAAAGCCTTGTCAAGTGTTATCTCAGTCTGTAATGGATTTTTTCTTCTCTATGCCTCCAAGCAGAAATAAAAATGTCCTCTCAAAAAATAAATACCACTACCATGCCCCCTCCTCCCCACAAAAAAAGGAAGAGAAAGGTTATTTAAAGAAACAAAATTAATTCTTATTGTTATATCAGTTAAGACTGAACCATCTCCAGAATCAAAAAGAAACTGTCTTTTATCCCCTGTGCAGCAAAGATTAGAATGCACATTGACTTGGTCAGACTTTAAATTTAGTTACATCATGCTATGCTGTTGCTAACTCCTTCCCTGGATGAAGGATTAACTGAGATCAGAACTGAGCTGCAGGTTTACTGAGAGCTGTTAGGAACAAAAAAAAACAACACACAAGCTATTTTAGTAGTTTGAAGTTAGTGTTCATGTTTGGGCTCTGATTTAAAAAAAAGCAAATGTAAATACAATGACCTTTATCTAGTTTCTTTAATGCCTCTTGTACACTAAAAGTGCTTTAAAAAAGCCACAGTAATTCTAGGCACTAACAGCCCAACCACTTTAAGGCCCCCAGTCAGGACTGGGACAAAGCTTCTAGCAAGACTGTAAATAAGTTTTCCTTTATCCACCCTACCACTGATTGATCTGAAAAAAACATTAAGAAAGTCAACAAATAAAACAAGGAAAACAGAAGCCAATTACCACACCCACTATACTCCCCCTTTACCCACTTGACACACCAAGGGATTGGAAAGGGAGTACAGAAAGGAAAAAGCAGGGAAGTCATAAACAGGTCAGGGGGAAGATGGAAAATGGCAACTCAATATAGGCAGGTGATAATATTCTACATGGGTAACTTTGGGAACAGGGCCAGAACAGGAAACTCTAAAATCCACTTCCTGTCCCCGCAGTGACAATTAATTGTCAGCATTAATTCTCAGCATAATCCGCTAATTCAGGGATACACAAATGTTAGCACATGGGAAAAGACAGGAACAAGAAATATGTGCCTAATTCTTTTAATTGAAATATGAAATGATCAAATAGTCACAAGTCTTCACTGACTTTTCAGAACCAAAATGCTCTGCCTCATGACCCTTCTGACAGTCTTGAATGGGAAAATGTATGAGGTAGAAATAAAAAAGCCAAAGACAGGATGTAGCTGTGGCAAAACCCTCTCAACAGTCCTCAGCCATCTGTTTGCACACCCTTCTTTCTTCCACCAGGTGAAAGAGGCAGACAAATTCTGCTTCTAGTGAATCCACACCTTCCCTGGATTTTGTGTGCAATTGATCAGCAAAAAAGCACTCTGCTACAAGACAGAAGTCACACCGTTGAGTGCTTCTCCAAAGAATTCAAATACTTCATTGAAGTAGTAAGAGCAGGTTGCACCCTTAGGAGAGGTGGGAGAAAGCTAGGGGGAAAGGAGGACCGGGTTGGTTTTGTTTGGGGGTGGGCTTTTTTTGTTTGGCTGTGTAATTTTTCCCCCCATCTCCTTTCATATATTGCTATAAATGACAACTCAAAACTTTTTGCCCTCACATAACAAGGTGTTAATACGCTGGCTCTTACAGCAGTAAAATAGCCTCTGAATTCCACTAAGGAAAAACCAAGAAAATACTGAGCATCAGTATTGCACAGCCTGCATGTGTACCCCCTTCCCCTTATTTAGGAAAGTAGAACCTACTCACCAGCAACATTTTTACAGGCAGCAGGTAGATCAAAATCATTCTTTTGTTCTTCTGGCTTGATCGATGACAGTGCTCAAAGGCAAATGACAGATATTCTTCAGCTGCAAGCATGAGTAATGTGAATCAACCACAAAAATGGGTTAAAGCTGTAACCCAAATTCTGTGCTCAATGTCCATCTGTCTTGAACACATAACATTTGAATTCGTACAAAAAAGGATCGTGGCACTCAAAATATATAAAGAAAAATTGAAGATTCACACAAAATACAGTTTGACCAGAAAGGTAAGTTCTACTTCAAAAAGTCAAAGAAAACTTGTCAAGAGCTTGATGTCAGACATTACAGTTAAAGTAATATTGGAACTTTCAGCTCATTTCAGTAATATTATTGTGCTCCTATTACAGAAGCAGAGAAATCTGAAGAAGTGCTGATAATACAATCTATTTCCTAAATTCAGATTAGGTTCTTCAAGAGATGAAAGCTGAATGCAATGCCCATATCTCTTGAGTTGCAGAAATGTGCCAGTGAGATCACACAGTATAACTGTGAAAATCTCTCAGCAGCTTCCACCAATAGAGAAAAAATGGTAAGCCTGAAAGGCAGCACACACTGTTTGGAGTAATAGCCAGCTCCAGAACAGATGATGATCAAGGGATTCAGTTAGTGATGAAGCTGTACACCTTAGCTCTAGAAGCATTTCTGTTAGTGAAATCTATTAGAAATCTAGGAAACGCAGTTTGTACATCTTCCAAAATCAATGGATCAATAAACTACAGTTTGCTACACTGCAGTTTGCTGAAGATTTCCTACATGGCACATAGCAACTTGAAGAGTTGAAGGCTCCTCTGCAAAACTTTTACAAACCTATTCTTTTGGATCCTAACACATTTTGTAATGCACACACATAATGCATAAGACTGTAGGGAACCTCACTGACACAAATATTTTAAAGCTGGGCATACACTACAATTGTAGTAGTCATGTAACCTCATATCTGTTTCAAGTCAGCCTGTGGGCCTTGGACGTTTCAGCATGACTTTTCCTTTGATCAGTGCAATTCTGAATCACACACACACAACTTCAGCAAGATTTCATGCCAAGCAGCAAGACTTTAAACATGCCTCACTGGCACACAGTACCTTGCTTAAAGTCACTGTCAAACATGGCCTTGCGTCCAACATAGTATTTGTATGTAACCCTCTGTGCCATACTATACTCATCCTTCAGATTTGAGCTGTCAATTGCTCTAATTAAGGGCTTACAGAGATGGAGCTTGTTGATCTGTAAAAAAAAATTGCATTTTAATCAGTGTAGATAGATGGTATCACAAAAAAGCAGAGTGGGTTTGACTTAGAATATTAAATACAAAGCACAGCTTACCAGACTTGAACCCTACCTTAAAATAAATCTTAAACAGCTGATTCACAAGAAACAACATGCCCCACTTTTTCGAATCTTCGATGCCTGCTCGACTGTCATGAGGAAAAAGAAAAAACCTGCTAGTACTGAACATCGTAAGAAAATAATGACTTTTTCCTCACAGTAAATTCATTCCATAGATATTCACTACATAGCATTCTTAAGGTAAACACAGGTGCAGCTCTGCTATATATTTTCTCAACATAATGAAAAGATGTCATACAGAATAGTATTCATCTGCATCAGGGTCCTCATTCCAGTCTCCAGATAACACACAGAGCAGTAGCTCATAATACTTGACATGAAAGAAAGACACAGAAAAAAGCTTTTTTTTCCACTTCAGAAGTATTAAAATTGCCAACATTGGAAACCAGAGCCAACTCTTTTCTATCTAATTTATTCTAATGGAGCAAACTTCACAACTAACAAGGCACAGATCACCTTTCCTGAGAAACAGGGACATAATCAGTCCCTCCCAACCATACCCGCTAGGAATGCTAAACCTGAAGTGAAGGCTCTCCCTCTGTAGTTAATAGTCAAGAGAAAAGATTATAAATTAAAAGAGACAAGCCTCAGAAGTGCCCATTCTAAGACCCATATATGGTTTAAGTAAGTGGGAAAATCCAAAGCAAAGTTCATTAAGTTCTCAGTAATTTACTAGTGCAAGTCCAACAGAGGGTCTTTTCACTTACGTGTCACTGGCACAGACTCGAAAGCAGCCCATCAGCAGCTCTGCTGCTTTTTCCAACATGTCACCAACTTTGCTCTTCCCTTTCTTCATAAGCTGTTGATCTGCCTAGCAAGAAATGATATGCAATTCTGCATCATAGTTCACTGAGCTGCAAAGTTTAGTTTTTTAATTTGGCATTTTATAAAGTATTATAGCAAGAGATCTGTGATGGCTGCTATCTCCCAAATCTAGAAGGCAGTCAAATTCCCAGAACAAAAGAAAACACTCAGAGAGGCTCCTGGACACGTACCAAGTCCAACATAGAGAAATACAGTCCTTGGAAAATAGCACTGATCACTATTACCTTTACTATCACTCAGCTTAATGCAGGTCTCAGAAACCTAAATTCAGGTTTAACACCTGAATTGGAGCACTAACACTTCAACTCAAGCTTACAAAGACCAAGAGCCTGGAAAAAATTATGGAGTTTGAGTCTTAGAATTTATAATTTCATTTCTCTCCAGAGCCACAAAGACTAGATTTTATTTCTAAACCATATTCAACAGTTTCCAGTAGTAACTCACATCGATGGGACCTGAGACTTCCAGAATAAAAAGAAAACATATGTTACAGCAGCAAGAGAAAAAAAAAAAAAAATCAGCTGTAAACATATGGAAAAGATCCGCACACTGACTAATGCAGAACTTCAATAGGAAAAAATAGCAAGTAGATGTTTATTACTTGCTTTCTAAAAAGTTTATTACAGTGTTCGCAGTCTTTCTAGCTGAAACATACAAGAAATGGAAATGCATCCTGCTGCAGAAGTCTTCTCTGAAACCAGATCCTCTGAATACACCAAGGTTAGAAGACAGAGTCCAAACACTTCCAGCATGACTGACTCAACACTACCTCTTCTCATGCATCTCAGAGATATGGATTTCCCTCACTCAAACTGAGAACTGAGACTTGTTGCAGAACAGTCACACACACAAAAAATACTCCCTGTGCAAGCACTCCACATGTGGTTTTGTGGGCAAGTGGGCATGAAAGTGATGAGGGGATGAACACTGAAAATACTGGATATTGCCAAACCCTAACCTCACTTGAACTAGCTTCAACTCTTCAGGTGAAGTGAGTATGAACAAAATCGCAACTCTGCCACTTACCTTGGCCTAGAAATTCTCAATAGAGCCTGAGAAAAATAATGTAAATTTGGGGATTATTGGCATGTCGGCAGTTGGGGATTATTGGCATGTTGGGCTCACCAAGGGCTCCAGAGAGCAACAGAAGTGGTGCACACTTCTGGAAAAGGGGAGCAGCAAGTTCCCTCTTCAGATATGGTGAATGGTTAGATCAGCTTGGTTGCCTGTGATACCTCCAATTTCTACCAAATCCCAGAGATAACATGGAAATAGTGACTTATGCTACATGCTACTCAATAAAGAAACTATTTATCCCTTCATAAGTTCTAAGCAACTGCTGGGGGTTGCATTCAGGTCCTCAGAACTCCTCTAGTTCTGCAAATAGTAAGTGGACAGATCTAGCAAACTCATTTTTCAATAGGACTGGATGAATTTAGCATGTCAACAAAATCCTAAACAATGAGTTAAACAGAACTGAGCAAAGTTAGACTGTGTAATAAACTCTGTAAAAATATTTCTATTGTGGAAATACCAAACAGATAAAAGTAATGAGGCTGTTAATCAGATCTACTTACATTATTAGCAAAAATTCGAAGATCAAGGGCTACAGAATACATAATAGGTAAGGCCCTGGAAAAGAAAATCATAGTAAACTTATTAGGTGCAAATTAAACATAAGTAAGACATGAGAAACAAGCAATTTTTTTTGTCAGTTGGTCATACAATTAGAAAAGTATATATTAATTTTTTAATGAAGAAGAATGCACTTCTTAGGAGGACTGTTCTTCAAGATCTCAGCATTTCAGAAATCCTACACTACAATAATTACTTCTAAAGTCTTTTTTACTGTGGCTTTAATAAAATTCCACTTCTCTTTGAACAAATCCTTCATGTATTTAAATATGGACTGCTCTATGTAATAAAGCTCAGATGTTTAGTTTTCACAATTTGTACATGGAAACTCAACCAGGCAACAAAGCCAATTAGGCTTGATTTTAGCATCACTGGGGATAAATAAAACTATAGGTATAATTTTAGTTTGACTCCAATTGTATTATACTAGGAAAAGATGAGTCTATTTTCTAGTAACTTTCTACCATGTACTCACCAATTTTCTTCTTTATGTGCCTGAAATGCTCGCAGGAAAGATGTATTGTATTTAGGAAAATTTGAAATGCCATGAAATGAAGCACAGATTTGAGAAACAGCGGTTCAGTGGTACAATATATGACTTCATAAAAGACTAGAAATCAAAACACCATCAAGAATTTGAGGAGCTGAGTTGCAGTATGGAAGAATGTAAGCAAAGCCATGCACTCCTTTGAGTGGCAGCAGCAGTAAGAAACACTGGCCAGAGATAAGACAGAAGCTTCTTTATCATTATCTTCCCTGTCAGCCAAGTACAAACTGCAACGTATTATAATGATTTGAGACTCTCCTATATTCTGGGAGAAATTAATATTCTATTTTAGAACCAAGTAAAACATTCTTTCTTAGCTCTGTAGAAAGCTGGAAGAAGAATGTATCTCGATTTCCTTGCTTAGAAACCTATACAACTAAAGTGTATTGGGAAGCAGACCACATTTTATTAGATTTTTAAAAACCATAAAGAGAACTTATTCTACAAAAAGTTAATCTGAAAACAATATGCAAGATTTATGGAAAAGGATATTGGACAATAACTGTTTGGCATTTGTACGCTTCTATGAAGTCATGGTTTGCAACAGCATAAGTACACCTGTCAAAGAAAAGCTACGTTAGTGCATCAGAAAATATACATAAATGAAATATTATTTTGTGTCCTACCAGGCATGAGGTTTTACAGTTTATTTAAGGCACAAAGAAATATGACTAGAAGCATTCCTAAAAAACTGGCACAAGTATTTTAATAGAGCACTAAGCTTGATAATTGTAGAAAACAGATCCTAGAGATGAATAGGTATTTGTTTTATATAAGCTAATGCTTATTGAAACTGTCACTAAGATTAAATTTAAACAAGATTGTTGAGAGACTAGATGCAGAAAATTATTTAGTAAAAGCCTCATAGAATTACTTATATACTAAGCTCCCTTATGAGAACTTTTATGATTAAAATTCCCTTTTAAAAATATTTATTTCCCTTACTTATTTCACTCTCAATTCTTGTGCAGCAGAGAGGAAACAGCAAGCAGTGACACCAAGGTTGTGCCAATGGCCATACACAGATGACAGCCAGGTACGTCGAGCAAACTTTATGTAGAAAGGAGAAAGAAAGTCTCCATTTCCTGCAATTCTAGCATTATTTATGAGTAATAAATACCAAGTTTTCAGGTGTAAGCCCTTTAAAATAGGAAAGTAAACTTAAGGATATCTCTCCCCATCTCCTGCTGTACACCTCACAGCTGACTTTACATTCCAGGCCCATCTTTACCTTAAGTGGGCTGCAAACATTTCATCATATGGTGACTCCAAAACTTGTTGACACTTCTCCTCTGGAGATGGAAGCTAAGTGTAGAATAAATCAATAAAACATTAAAGGAACATCCAATGCAACAGAAACAGAACATCACATGCATATTTTGTCATGGCAGTTCTCACAGATTTGCCGGGGTTGGAAGGGGCCTCTAGTATGCATCTACCAGAATTACATTACCAATCATATCCAGAGTAATGAATTGCTGGTGTGCATTCTGTCTCCAGAACCTGAACAGGGCTAGCCTTAAATAAAAGCATCAAAAACACCGCTGCTTTTTTGTCTATAGTGCCTTCCATGGTGCTGTGTTAATAACTTATGCAGACCTGGTCAGAAAGGACATTCAAAACTGTATCTATCCAGAAAAAAATTCAAAATGGGACACAAAGAGCCAACCAGAAAACAAATTATAAATAGTAAGCCTTGTAAGAAGAAAAGGGAAGCAAACCTACATGGGGATCCTACCTCAGCCTGTGAAACAAATTTCTGAGGTTTCTCTCCAATGGAAAAGAACCCACATATAGAGCTAGGAAAACTGAAAGTAAAAGAAAAGAAAAAAAAAATACAGATCCTCACCTGTAGCCTTGGGTTTGCAACATGTGGATGTTTAAATGATACTAATTCTGCACAAAAGGTACCATCTCTGGTCTCAATGGCTTCTTGTACCTACCAAAATAAACAGTCACATTACAGAATAAAATCCAGCAACAAGCACACAACTTATTTACACAACTACAGAAGCCACCACCTAGTTACCGCTGTTTATACATATTAATATCAAAACAAATGTGAGTTTCTAAAGGCTTGAAACCGGATAAATAATTCCATATTTCCAACACACCTGTTGTTCAAAAAGGTCTCAGGGAGAAGGTAGAGAAAACACTATTGTGTTTTTTTCCTTATTTGTAGGATGCAAGCACATGTATGTACTTGGGTTTAGCATTGTAAAACAGCAGTTGGGAGCCAGATTTGGTTAAGCTTTTTAAAATTCTAGTTAGACTTATAGGCATCAAACACAGATGCAAAGATGCAATCTTTGAGAAAAGCTTTAAAATGAAGACAGGAAGATTTAACATAGAAATATCATTTCAAAGGCAATGTCTGATATTAGACTGATATTCTATATGTATCAAATGCTTTTGAAACCTGCCAAGACTGTAAATGTTATATTCTGTGGAAGAATGGTTTAATCTTGCTTCCTGCTAAAGATAACTCCTTGTAAAAACAGTCTGATTGAACAGGTTATTGTGACATCAAGGTGGAAATGTATTCAGTTATGGAGGTAGCTTCAGGTATTACTTCTTAAGAGTTTTCTTCCTATTGCTTGTGCTTTGTCATATTTTTTGTGTCCTAATATGAAAAAAGGTATCTTTCTGATGTATGGAATACTCATACCAAATGGGGGAAAAAACCATAGAATAAAATAGCAACAAAAGAGGGAAAATTAACTGTTTAAACTCTTCCAGAAATTTGTGTCTAGCTTTTATTTCAGGAAAAGGAAGAGCTAATTTTACATTTGCAAGATACTTTTTCATACTGAATATCCAATGGAGTGTCAACCAAACAAGACGTAGGCTTTTCAGAGTAGACCTCAGTCCTGGGAGATCTCAGATGCTCCAAACAATTACTTTCTTTTTGCGCCTTAACAAATGCCAGATGACGTAAGATGGTAACAGTGACGATAACACGATGGTCCTGCAAGGACCATCCAGAGTGGCGACACAAGAAGCTTGTCCCTGCCAGCTCCATCCTGCTGGAGCGCCTGCGGCTCCGCTGCTGCAGACATGCTCCATGCCAGAGACGTGTGCCCGGCTTTTCAGGCATCCCAGGTGCACATCCTTGGCACTCAGTCGGTGTGTGCTTCACGCACACCGAAGAAATGTATTTCCTCACCACATCACTCATCCTACATTGATTTATCTCTTAACCAAGGCACCATATTTACAGCAAACAAAAACACACCCGCACATACCCAAACAGGGCCCACAGACTAATTAAAAAACAATAGAAAAAGCTTGCTTACTTGCTGCAAGTACTGATTTATGGTGATGTGCGCCATTGCAGGGTCCGGAGCTGAGGCGGAACTCCCGGCACTCCCCCCGCGCTTCCGGGTCCCGGCGCGCCCGAGGGCGGTGGGAACGGCCCCGAGCGTCACGTGACACCCCGACGGTCGCTGTCCCGCCCACCGCAGGCCCGGGGCGTGGCTTCGCTCGGGCAGCCAATAGGAGTGAGCGTGGGCGGGGCCGAGGGCGCGCGTCGGCGTTAAACCGCGTGCGCTGGGGCTGAGGGGTGGCGGTGTGCTGTGACTGTCGCTGTCACCCGCGCTGCCTCCGGTACCCGCGGCTTGGACAGGAGGCGGGCGGTGCGCTCCGTGTGGCCGGACACTCCAGGGACTTCCCCAAGAGAGCTGTGGAGGCTCGCCTCCCAGTGCTCCTCTGTTGCCCACGGGGAGCGCTGGCGAGAGGTCGCCGGTGAACTTGGGTCGAAAAAGTTGAATTGAGCATTAAACTTCCGAACAGGTTGACTCCTAAAGGCACTGACGCCAGGGAGATGTGTGAGACAAGGACGTGCTCCATGTTCGTGCAGGCTGGGCTCTGTTGGGTTTGGCAGGTGCCGGTGAGCAGGGCGCGGGCGGCCTCTCGGGATGGGGCTTTTGTGGGCGGCAAGAGCGGCTGCTCCTTGGCTTGCGTTCGGCCACCCTTCGCGGGTACCAGCAAACAGCCAGGACAAGCAGGGACACCGAGGGGCCGCTGCCGCCGGCGGCAGGCTGCCCCGGCCCGGGAGCCATCTTGTGAGCGGGGCTGGCGCTGCCCGAGCACCGCGGGCCGCCCGGGCTCAGGAGCGGACTCGAACCCGGACCCTCACCCGAGCCGGCCGCCCGGGCAGGCGGAGACGGGCGGGCGGCTATCGGTGCCTCCCCCCGGCGGCACTTGGCAGCCGCCCGCGGGCAGTGGGGGAGGGCAGCTGGGTGGTGGCGGAGGAGGAGGGGAGCGGAGGCGGGGACCAGCCGGCCCCGGCCCGGCCCAGCCCAGCGCGTTGCCCCGGCCGGACACGGCGCCCGGGGCGGAGATGGCGGACGAGCCGCAGAAGAAGTCGCACTTGTCGGCCTTGGTGGGACACACGAACGGGCTCACCAAGCCCGCCTCGCTGACCGCCAGCCGCTCTGCGGGAGGGGGAGGAGGAGGCGCGACCGCCTCCTCCAAGAAACTCGTGATCAAGAACTTCAGAGGTGGGTACGGGGCAGGCCGGGCCCTCTGTCCTGGCAGGTGCGCTCGGCCCGATCTTTGTTTACCGCGGCCGCTCCCCGCCCCATGCCCGCGGCCGGGCCCCGCCGCTGTCACCCGCCCGCCGCCCTGTGGGCGAGGGGTGGCGGCGGCGGGGCTGATAGCGCTGCCGGGCTGATAACGCCGCCGGGCTGATAGCGCTGCCGGCACCGTGCCCGCCTAAGGGCTCCCGGGGCACGCGTGGAGCTCCGTGCGCGGGGGCAGCGGCCATAGGGAGCGGGCAGAAAGCCACCTTAGTGTCAGCGCTGATTAAAGCCAGGCGAGGGTGGTTGCCTCGCTAAAAGTAACACGGGCGTCAAACACAGCGGCCAGGGGGTGAAGCGCGTCGTGCAAAGGCTCGGGTGGAATTGGTGACCCCTCTGAGTGTGCCAGACTTACATCGCCGAGAGCACAGTGGCTTGGCAGAACTTGATGGAGCAGCAGGGAGAGAGACATTGCTGCAGGCTCTCGTTGGGTAGCCGTTTTCAAACTACCTGTGTCTTACTTCACAGAAAGACCCAAATTACCCGATAATTATACTCAGGACACCTGGCAGAAACTTAATGAAGCGGTGGGAGCCATACAGAGTAGTATTTCTATTAAATACAACCTTGAAGAGCTCTACCAGGTAAGCTACATAAGGTGTTTGTTTCGTTTCCTGCAAATAAACTGCTTTGGCAAACATTCAACATAATGTATTTTGATTTCTTAAAAGCTGATTGAATACTCTGCTACATACTTTGTTTCTAATCAGTTTTTGTATATATCGGTTCCTCTGAGAGTTACCAGGATCTGGGCCCATGAAAAAGCAGTTTCTGTTGGGAGGCACAGAAAGCTATTCCTGGGCAGGGCTGAGATCTAAGTCTTAGTATCATCAATACTCTGCCCACTCAGCATGCTGAAAACAGGATGTTACTCTAACAGGGTTATGAAGTTATGTTTTATGATGATTTTTGTGCATGCTCTGGTCTCTTGTAAATAGTAATGTTGAAGTATTTGTTATTATTGCATTATAATATTACACTTATACCTTTTGGGAAATTACAAAGGAATCTTGATTGAGCAGGCAACAAATTGTCACTTTATCCACATTTCAGATTACTGTTACATTTTCATAACAATCAAGATCTTAGTTTTTTGGTTCAAGTGATGAAAAAGCATTTCTGGAACACCTGGACTACTGGAGCAGGGGCTAGGGAGGGTAAAAGAGAGATGGATTCCTAAGCCATTTCTTTACTTTCTCCAGTTATATGTGGTTTAGTTCTATGTTATTTCAGATGTATGTGCTTTGAGGTATTTAGCTGAAGTAGCAGCTTTTTAGAGTGATCATGCTATAAAAGAGTACTGATGCACTAGATTGTGCTATATAACGTAAGTTAGTTATGACTTTTCTGTGGGTGCAGTGTTTGATCTGCAGGTTAATGTCCTTGCCAGACCAGGACTGAAAATATTATTATGCACTCCTAAAATTTTCTAAATGTTTAGTTGAGGTGCAAAGGGTGGACTGTGAGAGAGGAGAAGGCCAGTAGTCCATACTGGGTCCCTGTTCAAGAAGATCAGGATGGATTTCAGAACTGACTATACTTACCTCTTTAGTTAGGGTATGTAATATATGGGTCTAAAATAGCTGATTATGTAAATGTGTATTAACTTAAAATAATTATTCCCTTTAAATAGAAAACTTGACTGTAATATATTTATCTATTAATAATCACAGATTTGCAAAGTTTAAATGACATCATGACTTTTATTGTTTTAAATTCAGCATTTGAAAAACCCTGCTTTTTTATGTCTAGCAAAAAAAAAAACCAAACAACCCAAAAACCAGCCCACAGATGCTTTGAGTGTTACCTAACTTGTTTTCAGAGGCTCAGAAATGAGATTATAGTAATATGTCGATGAAATCACTAGGGTACATGCTTGAGTTTTGGCAGAAGAGGAGAGATATTTCAGATAAACTGGTAAGGGAGAACTGTACTTCTTTTTCTCTTTGTTTGCTTATTTGTAAAAACTGTGCAAGGCTGGTCAAATAATCCTTAGCACAGCAAATCAGGAGAATTTCTGCACAGTGGGTGGTGGTGCTCGGTGTGCCTGTGCATAGACAGGTTTTACTGTCCTGCCAGAGGAATAAAAGATGAGGTTCAGCATCCATTGGAAACCTGATCTGTATTTACAGATCATTTTAACTGCCTGTTGGTGAGCATCGAATCATCCACTGGGGAAAATATCTCTGGGTGCATCAGTTCTTACTATCAGGCCTTTGTGGTGGTTTTTGGGGTTTTTTTGAGTCTTTATCTGACATTATGGGGGGAAGTGAGAGGCCTTCTAGAGTTCAGTGCACTCAGTGGGCTGGTGTACCAGCCTACAGTTGAACCTTCTGATTTATTTATTTAATTTGGCACAGTGGCTGAGAAGAAACTGAAGAACAGTGATAAGGCTGTGTGGGAAGCCTGAAGGATACTCCTTTCCAGGCATTAGAGGCAGCATGGAATCAGGCGTGGAGGTGCTTGGCAGAAATGTAGTCAGTGAGCAATGGGAGGGTGGCAGCCAGTTTTTTGTGACTAAAATAGAAATGATGTCTGGGATTGGTGGTAGATTGCACAGATTTTGATAGAAGTAGCTTATACTTGCTGGGATAAAGAAAGTGGGGCAGTACAAAGAATTGCAGAATGAGGAATGAGTGATAAAAATAATGGAAAAAGAAAATTACCTTTGCAGCAAGGTCCTAAATAACCTGAAGTGGAGCAGCGCTGCCCTTCTGGAGGGCATAGAACAGGACAGTGTAGTGGTAAAGGAAATACAGTAGAGCAATGAAGGAAAAAAATATGAGAGTCCTGACCAGATTTATAGTTGGATGGGTGGATAGGAGTGGCTGTAACATTATCTGCAAAGTGATTGACTGAATACTGTTTGTTGCAAGTTATCATTTTACTTACCTTAAGACAGATGAAAAGCATTATAGGGGCTGTGTTATACTTTTGTTTGTTTGCATGCTTTAATGTTGTATCAAAATTGTGGAGGCCATTTTAATATACATTTAAATAAAATTAGATTAGGCAAGTTAGAGTTTTCTGGAGCAGAGGAGAACATTCTTGGGCCAGTTTTAGTTGCCCAGGTGACATAGTTCTTTAAATCCTTGGCAGTGTCCTGTGCAGCGTTGCCTCATGATATAACAGCAGTTGATAATAATATAGTGACCACCAGAACACTTGGTTTTGGGCAGAATTGGCCTCCTTAAGTAAGGATAAATACTCAGCTAAATCCTATGAACTCCCAATAAATATTCAAGTCTTTATGTAACATTAATGTGGGGTTGGTTATGGGGATTTTGTTACAGTTTGGGGTTTTTCTCAATCATTTTTTCCCCTCAGTTTATGTACCTTAGCATGAGTGTGTGAATCAGCGGAAATACTTAGGAAGAAATAAGTTGATAAAAAGACAGGAAAGTAGCTATACTCAATCACCATTTAGACAGACTGGTTGAAATGTCTAAATTAAAGTTATAAAGAAATTAAAATATTTGGTATGGTTGTGTTCCTGCCCCAAGAAAGCGCTTGTGTACATACTGAAGGGTGCACAAAATGGACCTTCTGGAGGAGTTCTACTGCTGAGCAGTACTGAAGGAGGCAGAATTCTGGTAGTGTTTAACAACAGATCTTGTTTGTGACACAAAATCTAAAAGAATAAGAGGGGACCAAAATCAGGAAGGATTCCTGAAGTCTTAATTTTTTTACATAACTTTGTTTTGATGTTTTGGTTTTATGCACAGCTTGAACATATAACACTGATTTTTTTTTTTTCTTTGTCAGCCTTAATTACATAGACACAAAAATTTAGGTTCTTTTTTTTGTCTCATTCATAATCCTTTTTTGGTTTTTAGGCTGTTGAAAATCTCTGTTCCTACAAAGTCTCTGCTACACTGTACAAACAACTGCGACAAGTCTGTGAAGAACATGTGAAAGCACAAATCCTTCAGTTTAGAGAATATCCTTTTGTCATGCACAGAAGTGGTTAGAATGGTTAGTTTAAATATTTTTTTTTAAACAGGACTTTGCAAAAAATGCACCAGTAATTGTCAGTGTGTTAAAGAGGTTCTTTAACACTTTAACTGCTTACGTGTTTTTCAATCATAAGCAACTTTAGTCATTTGGGTGAATAATTTTTGTATATTGATGTGTAGCATCCTAGTAAGAATGTATCATTTTAATAGGGATGTAAATTTTACACTAAATCTAGAAAATGTCAATAGCACTATGAGATTTCTCAGCAGGTATGAATTTCTGTGGCAGGTGTGTAGTTGGGATGCTTATGGCATCAATAGCTTAAAAAAAAAAATCACGGTGATTATCAACAACAGTAAAAAAGTTTTCAAACTTAGTGCACCTGTTTGACCAAAAATAAATACTGGTCAACAGTGATGTATCACAGGCATTCAACAAGCCTTCATGTATCTTCTGTGTACCTTGGGAGGTTCTTGGAAGAGAGCTCTAAGTTCAAGAGATCATTTGGCTGTCTTGGGATGCATTGAAGGATGAAGTTTTATGGTAAATTTCCCGACGGTTTACTGACGTTACATTGCTGGACTTTTCTTCTGGCTGAATGGGTCACAGAAGTGCCCGTGGATCTTTTGTGGACACCTGGCTGTAGCCAGCCCTGTTTCCTGAATCCAGTCAAGTTTTGTGTGCTGTGAAGGTACTTTATATCATAGTTGTCTTTTGTGTAATAGCCATGGGTTTGCACTTGCTGGAGCAGCAGATGAATAGTCTGTGTCCATCTTGCTGTCCCCAAATTCCTGGAAAATGCCTTAGCCAGCAGATGACGGATGGAGGGTGCCATATTGAACAGATACTACACCACTGTAGCTGTTGGCATTGTTTCCCAGCTCTCTATGGATTTTTTTAGCAGAAAATGATAAAGTAGAAAAGATAGGATAAAGTAGACAGAAACAAGGGACCAGGGCCCAGAACACACCTCCTTTCCAGATGAATGCTTTAAATGTGCTTTGGATTGTGACTCTCAGTTTCTTGGTTCACTGCATTCCCCAGGTAGGTGCCTACATTCAGAATAATTTGGGGTTTTTAATTGCACGTAGCACCAATATGGGTTTGGGCTGTGTGGTTTTGGTTTTTGTCGGTGGTTTGGTTGGTTTTTTTTTTTAGTCCCATTTATGACATCTGGCTTCTATACAGCACATTAGTACAGCAGTATTGAACATACATGGTCTTTGAGAACCAAATCTAACAGTCTTCTTTAAAGCAGTGTACAACCATCTTTTGCATTCGTGCTTTTTCAGACTTTAGATGATGTTATAAAAAATGTTTTAGAACTAGTGTTTTCAGACTTTGCTTTCGCCTTGCCCTCCTGACAGGGTGATGGTGGATTGGAGAGTTGAAAATTTAATATTTTCTAGGTGTAGCACTTTGTATCCCAAAGACATGAGATCAGAGTAATCAGATTTGGCCAGAATGAGTTGGAAATTATGATAATGTGTGGGAGAGGAAGGTATAGTCTCGTTTAGATTTACTTGTGAGACACATGAGAATTGCATTATTTGTAAAGAACATTTGGATCTGTTGTGTAATGAAGAAAACTCTGTAGACTACATAGGGTGACCTGGAGATGTATATGAAAAGAGTGGTGTTTGGATTTGTTGAGGATTATTTAGAACTGTAACTGCTTTTAAGAGATTAGGGTCACTCCTGTTGTGCTCAGTGTGAACTCATTAAATAAACAAAATAACTTCTCCATCCCTCTCACCTCAGTTGGTGCCAAGCGTGTGTTTGACGTTGGTGGGATTTCTTGCTTAAATCTATTTTAAGGTTGCACAGTACAGCCACTAGATGGTATTACTGAAGAGCTGGGAGTGTTATTCCTTGAAAACACAGGGAGGCCTTTTGGAGAGCTGCCAGCCACTGTGCTGGGCAGCTCCGCAATTAATGGTTTATCCCTGGCAGGCACAGTAGCATTGGAATATCCATGGAGCAGCTTTGCCTAATGGCTGGCAAAGATCATCTCCAGAATCTGGCCTCCAAAGATACTGACAAACTAGTTTTCCTTAATGGATGCTGTACAGATTCTCTGGATAGTCTTTTATTTTTAAAGAAGATAAATAAATGCTGGCAAGATCATTGCAGACAAATGGTAAGTTTAATGTTTGTTCAGAGTACATATCCTTGAGGTGTGAAATCTGGCTAAAATTAGTTTGTCGTAGTTTAACTTGAGACTGCACTGCATCTCCTCCTCCAAGTTTTAGCACTGCTTTTCACTTTCCCCTTTGCTGGCTGAGGGAACTTCTGTTGTTGAAATGTAGGTTCTGTTAACTATGACTTTCATAGGTTCATTTAAGGATTGAACATCACTCAGAAATATATTGACACCTTTTTTTCTTTAGGTGGAAATTAAAACTAACCAAGAAATGCTGAAGATGTTTGCTGTTCATGATTTTAAGTAATTGGAGAGTCTTTGCTTTTAGATGGCTCCAAGAACTAGGCTAACTTGTGAATTTTTTTTTTCAAAGCAGAGATTATTATCGTAAGCTAAGAAACAGAAAGGATAAAGAACTGAAACTTGCTTTCTATCTGCCTTTTTTGTCTTCTACCTCCACAATGATTTATGTTACAGAAAAAACTCCTCTCTGAAACACACTCTATGAAAAAGTCCCTTTAAGAAGCCATCATTACAATTCCAAACTAACATTTTACAATGAGTTTTTATTGCATTGTCACTTAGCTTTGGCTGCAGATGCCCCATATGGTTGAATTTCTATTTTCATTCCTCAAATCCACTGTTCTTTCCTTTCCTGTGAGGTTTGGGCAGAGGTATACAATTTTTATCTGAATTAGAAACAGAAGGTGGTAGGTGTTATTTGAATTCAGCAGTCTAATTAAAACAAGAGTTGAAGATACTGCCTTGAAAATGTAGTTAGCATGAAACTGTATTTTCATAAAAGGGATTTTGCTATGAACACTGTTTGCTTTAATTCTAAGCATTCTTTTTTTTTTTTTTTTTTCTTCCTTTAAGCAACAACCTGTAGCAAGTGGCTTTCTTGCCTGTGTGCTGGGTTAGCACTTGTGGTATTTAAGAAAAAAAAAATCAGCCTTACTGCTGTTTTACTTTAATATTCTTGGCCAGAAGCTATGTCAGCTTGAGAATTGCTTCAGAGGCAATGAAATCTTTTAGGGAAGGAGTAGGTGGACAGCTGGGAATAGAAATCTCTATCTGGCCTGGGGGTGAATTACTGACATCCGGAGTTGCACTAATGCTAAACTGGGAGTTGGGCAGGCTTCTTATGAGCAAAGTTAAAAGTGGATTTTGAATGTCAAAGTCTAGTAAGCTACAAAACCACTCCTCCTCCCACTTCTTTAGTGTAAAAAAGAGATAATATACTTTTATACCCTCTTTCAGCTGTTGGATTTAATGTATCTCTATTTTTCTTATGAATTTTGGCAGCTAACTTTTACTATGAAAAGATCTGTTGCACAGCTTATTACTGTCTCATCTTAAACCTTTGTGGTTTTTTTTTTTTATTTTAAAGAAAACATGGTAACATGCTATTTCAGGGTGTTTACTGACTATATTGGAGGTACTGCTTGAATAGCTTTGTGCATCAGTGGTATAAAATTCCTAACAAGCTAATAAAATGATTTAGTTAATGGTTATGAATTTGAAAGCTGTCTTGGATGTACTTGCGAATACCACCAAGTAATAGTATTAACTTCAATAAATTGCATACCTATGGCTGTACAAGTCACCATAGAAATTTAAAATAAGGACATCAGTAAATGAGGTGTATCTCTGATGTAGTTCTTCCAAAGTTATAATTTAAAATATCACATGGAGATGAAGAGAAAAATATTTTCTTTATATATTTCAGATCATGATCAGAAGCATTTTCTTATTTTTGGATCGTACATATGTGCTTCAGAATTCAGTGCTTCCTTCTATATGGTAGGTATCCATGTAAGTATTCCTATAATCTTTTGAGTGTTGACGTGCTATTACATCTGCAAAGATTGAAAATAAATTTCACATTATATTTGAGCTATATAATAGTTCTCTAAAATTTTGTGTGAGTTTATGGAGATGCATGTGTCAGCATATGTGTGTGTCATGTCCTCCTTCCCGAGGAGTATTCACTGTCAAGTGAGGGTAAAAGAAGGTCTGTGAACATGAGCTTAAAAGTCAAGGTTTGTGTGTAGCTGCTGTTTTCAGAGCCTGGGTGAGGCTGAGTCTGTTGGAACCTCCCCTTGACTGCTGCCTCCCACCTTAGCACTGGCCCAGCATTACTGTAGGTGCTCCTGGTTTTGACAAAATTCAACATTCAACTTCTTGCTCTGTTTTTTTTTAAGTAAGTCATATACAGTGACAGGGTGCAGATTCTTTCCAGCTCTGGTTGCTTGATGATGCTTTTGTACTTTCAGCCAACCATGGTCACATCTTTGGGCATTCTGCTTTAAAGCATCTCCCCTGAGGGGAATTTTACATCATTGCCCAAGCAAACAAACCCAAGCTTTGCCAAAAATATTTGAAGCACCCTCCCAAAAAAAAAAGAAAAAGAAAAAAGTACTGAACTGAGAGCATGTATTTTCCCTGCCTGGCTGCTGTGAGTTCCTCAGGCTGCTAAAGAGCTTGCCATCTTTCTCCAGCCTCTTGTCAAGTGGGCATCTTTTGTTCCCAGCTTCAGCAGTTTTCCTCCAACTCTTTGTGTTAGGCTTCTTTTTGCTAAACATTGTTGATGAGGTCTGTTCATACTTTGTCTTATTTTTCTCCCACTGGGAAAATTCCATGTATTGAAATCCTGATGCATGTGAAGAAGTCAGAGGTAACAAGTACTATCTAGGATTTCTCAGTTTTCAATATTTAACAATTAGCTGCTTTGTGGCATAGAGGCACCATTCCTCATCATCTTAGAATGAAACAAGTATCTGATAGAGGCTATAAGATCCTAAAGATACAAAGAATTCATGCTTTGAACAAAACTTACAAATTACGCATAGAATGTCTGATCCAGGGAATTTTATGTTAAGATATATTATCCGATTTTTTTTTTTTTTTTTAATGAGCAGAGAAACTTCTAGTCTATTTGTGTGAAAGTTGGACAGGCTTGTAACAGTTCTTCACTGAAGTGTATGCCTGTGATAGCATGGGATCTGGTATTTTTAGGATAATTCTGGTTACAATTTTGTTAGAGGACAGAGTCAAAAAGAGTACACACACATTAATATATTTTTTCCTGTATAATACATACACTGTATATATTTTAAACATTTTTCAAAAGAATCAACAATGTGACTAATTTTCAATATTCACATAGGGATATGGGGCTAGAGTTGTTTAGAAACCATATAATTAGTGACAAGCAAGTTCAAACCAAGACTATTGATGGAATTCTCCTGCTGATCGAACGAGAGCGAAATGGTGAAGCTGTGGACAGAAGCTTGCTGCGGAGTTTGTTGAGCATGCTCTCGGATCTGCAGGTGAGTACAGCCAAATTCACTAGTAACAGCTTTGTTTAGAAATACAGTGTGGATTGTCTAAGTTGTGTTTTGTACAAAAATTATCCTGTTCATCTAGTAAATGTGTGTAAAATCTAGCTGTTACATTGGTATGATTGCCTTTTCTTTACACCATGGGCAATCTCGTACTGTTTTTAAATGAGACCTCTTTCCTGTTTTCCTTAGCAGAGGTAATGGCCTCAGATCTTAATAGATTTACAGGTCTTCTCATATGTGCAGTATTTTGTCTGTCTTAATCACTCATTGTCTCATCCTAGTGCCAGTTAAATGTAGGAACAGAAAATCCCTCTCTGTCACTGTAAAAAGGTGTCACTTTTTGGAGTCCAGATTCTGGGTCTCTATCACAAAAACATCACTCTAGAACTCTGGCAACTTCTTAGAAATGCTGAGGATAGAATGGGATGCTGTATTAAGGCCAAGGTTTTCAGATAGATCATGTCAAGCTGCAGCTTACTGGAACTTTCCATGAGCAGAGACAGTAAGTAACTAAGGAGACTGAAAAATTGTGATTCTGGCTTCTACATAGGTTGTCCTTGAGTTAATGTTGCAGCCTCAAGTGATGTGCAATGAAATTTTGGAGCTATCCTTCATTGCTAAATCCTGCTGGTTGCTCCATTTCAGAGTGGCAATACAGCATTACGCAACTGGCTGAAGTTTTGAGGAGTTTGAAGAGGCAGACTACATAAAAAATCCCTTTCTGGTTTAGGCAGCTTACCTGGTTTTCTGCCTTTCATGTTAATCCTCTTGACTTTAATCTGTAGCTTCCTGTATCATCCCAGAAAAAATTAGTCTGTTTGAGACAGAAGCCATTGGAAAAAAAAAAAAGTTTTTGAAAGTGATAGAATGGTTTGGGTTGGAAGGGGCCTTAAAGATCATCTAGCTCCAACCCCCCTGCATTATTCAGGGTACTGTCAACTAGGAGTCCTTAAGAGACAGAAAGTGGTCAGAATGTAATGAGTTTTATAGCTCTATGTTCTAGTAAAAATACTTTATTCTGTTCTTCCACCGCACTCAAGGAATTTTCTCTTTTTTCCACTCTCCCTCTGTTTACGTATTAATCCCTAGTTCCTTGGACTTTTAGAGCTTTTTCTTTATGTAGTTGTTTTTTCTGACTTATTTCATGTCTATAATAACCTATTACTCATTATGCAGAAGTTTTTTTTATGTCTGATTGTTATTGGTGCCCTTTATTGCACGCCTTATTTATTCCCTGTAGAAAGTTCACCTTATTTGATATAATTCATTTTTCCTGGGCCACTGAGAGAAACATGGCAGATCTGTTGATGTGTTACTGAGCATATTAATATTTTACTGATGAGAATTACCTGGTTTGTGCTAGTTGGAAGGTTTTTTTTGCCACAGAAATGAGTGAGAGTTTAGATTTTGGGTGGATGGGATGTCATTGCTATGCTGTTGGGTATTGGTGTTGGGCTGTGTACCTTAAACAGAAGCCTGTTAATTTAGACTGTTCAAGAACTGATGGCTAAAACAAACCATTGCTGCTCTGGGAAGTCAGTTATGGTATCAGTCTTTGTGAAACCAGTGGGTGAAGAGAGAATTTGTTAATGTAATGTTACAGTGACATCTCTCACAGCTGTCCACATCCTTAAAATTTTACTTGCCCTCTTACACCTGATGAACAAAATAATACTGTTACTGTGAGCTTAATGTAAGTAACTAAATTGATTTCTTGAGCCAGGTTTACAAGGAATCATTTGAACAGAGGTTCCTAGAAGAGACAAATTGTTTATATGCTGCAGAAGGCCAAAGATTAATGCAGGAAAGAGAGGTAGGTACATGTGGTAAATGATTGCTTTTATGTTAGTTTTATCAACTCTGCGATTACATAAGAACTTTGGTAGTGCCATGGTGTATTAATGTCCAGTGAAATTTACTGGCACACAAGTATTCAAAACACACATGTGCTTTGATATGGACCAGGGTATTGTATCAACAGGGAGAGCAGACCCCAGGTTATAATGGAATTTGATAGATACGGTCGATACCACTGTGATTAGATAGATACTACAATACTACCATGTAGTAACACTGTGACATTTTTGTATCTGAAGTCACATTATGAACTATAGTACCTTTACTATGAAGTAACATTGATTAATAAAAATACATAGTATTTTTACGTAACAACATTCTGGTGGAATAGTCCTTTCCAATTCATGTTCTCTTTTAAAAATGTAGTTTAGTTGTCATGAAACAAGATTAGCTGCCTTTCATACCTTTATAGCTGAACTGGTCATTCTCTTGTCTTGTTAGGTCCCAGAATATCTTCACCATGTTAATAAACGTTTGGAAGAAGAAGGAGACAGAGTTATAACATATTTAGATCACAGCACACAGTGAGTACAAATTTTATCATTTTTATTGAAAGTCAAGCATTCTTCATAAATCAGCATGATTATCTATGGTTGTAGAGACACTGAGATAATTTCTTCATTATCTTGCATATATTATCTTGTTGAGAGTGCTTGTGAAATAGCTTATTTTTTTTAAAGACTTCAGTTTTATCAAAAGTAAAATAAAAGTGTATTTTCAGTAAGAAAGAAAACATTTGTTCAGAAATATTAATTCTGTATACTGCCGTTAAAAAACACTGTATAAGAACTCAATTTCCCATTTTCAAAACTGCAGCTGATTTTAGCTATTTATGCACTGATAGTATCTTTAACCGCAAATCTCTTGAGGGAAGGGAAGACTCATTAGAAAAAACCCAACCAAACAAGCAAAACCACAAACAAACAAACAAAAAAAAGAAAAACCCAAACAAGACCTGAAAAAACTGAGAAGGGCAGAGAACATGAGTGTCATTTTTAAGCAGTCCGAGGTGTGAGCTTGATAGTACATCAGCTGTTGCCAGTGTACTGTGTGAGGTAGCTTGTCCTTTTTTCACTTGGGTTTTAGGTAATAGTTTGTGTTTTGTTGGGTTAACACATTCCTGCAGGAACTGGCACTCTACAGAAATCCATATAGAATTTGTCCTGTAGTAAGCCATTGCTTTTTTTTCTTTAGTTAAGAATGTGACATTAAATTTATTGGGTTTTAGTCTTCTAGAGCATTTATTGGCATGTCATTGGCGTGTCAAAAAGGATAACTGAATAAAAATTATCTTTTTAACTTGCTCTTTTCTTCAGACATTTTATATAGATGTATAGCTATACACATATGTGTATTGTGTGTCATGGCACATATTTAAACTTGGATCTTCCTGTAAATGCTGATTGCAGGGTGATTAGCATTTTCTGGTGAAATCACTCATATTGAAATATATGGAACTATTTCTGTTTTTATAGCAAACATATGTATTTATTTACTGTTTAGGTTAAAAAATAGATTGATACCATTACATTTTTAATCTAGATAGACATCAAGTACTTGCATTGAATCTTGCCCTTAGTTAAAGGCTTAGAAACCTACTTTTAGAAGGGTTCACCCTGATTTTCTTCCATTGCATTAAGAAACAGCAGTTCTTCAAATTAGAGCATGAGTGTTCCTGGGATCGTACTGTGTCTCTGTGTGTGCCTGAAAACAAAGAGGATGCTATTTCTTTGCAACTGGCTTGATCTTGAGATGAAAACCATACTTGTAGGACAAAAGCATCATGTGAAACATCATTCCAAATACTTGAGACAGCACCTGGGAAGTGTGTTGTTGCAGCCCACAGAGGGATTCTTTCAGCCCAGAAGTGCGTGCTGCTCTGGACAGCTGACCAGATTAAGTGTGTTTCCTTGTCAGTCTAGGTGACCAAGGTACCTTGAGGTCATACAGAAGGTACCTTCTGGCTCCTTCCTTTGCCAAGATAAATACTCATTTTGTTCGGTTGCTTGCTAGGATGTACTGTTTTGCCTCTTGGCCTGAAGTGGGCAAACTGTCCCTTTTCCTGTACTCAGAGTAGGTTTCCAGGGCAAGGGAGATGAGATGTCACACAACCCTGACTCCTGCTGTTGGAAACAGCCAGCAGCTGCAGATAGCAGTAATTGGAAATGGCAGGGGATATGGAAAGTACCATAAAAATGGTCATGTGTGTTAAAAACAAGGGTCTGTCTAAAGTGTATTTCATGTTAACTTATGACCTCTAAAGGGAACAAATAGAGGAAATGTATGTGATGGCCTGATACTCTCCTGGTGTCAGCTTGTTATCAGCTCAGTGTATTTTCTGACAGTCTCTGCTAGGGATTCACATCAGCTTTTCTGTCTGTGCTAGGCTTTGGCAAAGCGTTCCACAGGTGATAAAGTGCCTCTCTTTAAGTCGGGTACCCAGTACCATTGCTGATGACCCCAATTCATGCACTGAAAAAAGTGATCAGTCAGTTCCCTTCGCCCCTTTCCTGCTTGTTAATGGTATCCCTAAGTCATCTCGTTCTCAGAACAAAGAGTCTTGATGTGCAGTTGTCTCTGTTGTGGCTGCTGCTGCATGTTTTGATCATCCCTGCTCTTTCTCTGAACCTTTCCAAATGAAGGACCTAAATTGGTGTACTGTATGGAAGGTGACAGGCATGTCACTGATGGGCTGTTTCAGGAAAGAGTGTGTTAGCAAAGGTATCCTTTCGTTTTAGCAAAAGTGTATCCTCCTACAGGAAAGGCTGCCATCAATCCAAGTGGAGCACCTCTTTTGTAGGAAATCTCAGTTAAGGTTCTGAGAATCAGTTTTATAATACTTAACCCATAGATAAATGGTTGGTCCTGCATTGTTCCATTGTAAGCAAGGTAGAAGTCTAAGCATTGGAATTAATTATGCCTTAATTAATTATTTTATCTCTTAGGAGATGAAAGATGCAAGGGAAAACTTCCTTTATTTTTCAGTCCTGTCTAAAAGGAATGTATAAATGTAAAAAGGAGGGGATACTCAAGCACAAATTTAGAAGTTTTTGCAAGTTTGTGTCCTGTGGCTCTAGTTCAATTTATGCTTGTGTACATACATAACACAATTACCTGAAAATTTTACAATTAGCTAAATTTTTAACATAACTAGGGTGTATTGTTTTGAAGTTCAAACCCTTGGAGGTTTTTTAGTCCGTTTGCTTGTTTGTTTCCAGAATTCAGTGACTTTTTTTCTAGTTATGGTTTTTCATTGATTTCTGCAATGTAAGCGTCTCATTTCTACTGTGCAAAGATTTTCATATTATCAATTTACTTTTATTTTTAATTACATACACAGTTTATTGTTATATCGTGTGATGGTTTTTGTCTTAATTTGTAAACTCTAAGTAGAAAATTGTTGGGGTTTTTTAAATAATTGTAAATTATGCACAAATACACACTGACAGAAGGCAATTCCTTTATTCTAATGCTTCTAATATTTTTTTTCTTGTATAATTCAGGAAACCACTGATTGCTTGTGTGGAGAAGCAGCTACTAGGAGAACACTTATCAGCTATTTTGCAAAAAGGTATTTTTTAAAATAATTTAATCTTTGATTAGCAATGGAATCTTATACTCTGCAATAGCTATAAATTCCATAACTTTTGCTTTAGGAGGTATATTAGCCATGGGAGAAACTTCCACAGACACAGAAAGCCAATCCTGTGATTGTTAGCCTCACTGTGACAAGTAAATGGTATATATGGAAAGAAATGTCTAAAATCTAATTCCATATTTGTAAAGGCTGCTAAGCCTCTAAATCTCCTTTAACTTGTAGCAGTGGACTTAGGAATTAAACCTTTGGAATGGCTTCTTTCCTAGAATTATATAAACTTCTAAATGAGAGCTACAGTACTGGTATAGCTTCTTTCATGTGATGATCACACAGCTCAAGTGCAATAGTTTCACATATTCTGATGATTTTGTAGTTTAAGAATTGTGAGTTACTGTAACTGGCAGCATTCGAGGCAGTGAGCTTTCATATGCCTTTGTCTGTACTTTGCCTTTTGTCTGGCAATTTCGGATAAGAGCTGCAGCCTTCTTAGGAAGTCCTTATACATACATTAGTGTGTTCAAATTGCCATTTCTTTGCTCCTCTTAAATTGTAATCGCTCCTTTTTCACTGAATTTCTGGGTTTGTTCAATATTCCCTGATCTTTGAGTACTTTAAGTGATCTTTTCTTTCTCTTGCAGTAGCCATATTTTAGGTTTTAGGTCTTCTAGCAAATTGTCCTTACATCTGTGTTTTCTTTTATGTTGCAAAACATGTCCCTGGTAGTATGCTATCTTCAAGCTCCCTCACATCCATGTTTAACACTTTCGTGTTATACATACCCTTTCTATGTTTTTCTTTATCCCTTTTCAAGATGACTTATGCTCAGTTTTATCTCAACTACCCTGGGAATAGCTTGTTTCACTGTTTTCAATGCTTTTATAGAAATAAGCTTAGTCACTTAATTTTAGGTATTATTAAACTTATAAACAGAAGGTAAGAATAATTATATTTTGTTGATATGTGTCAATTTTGCTTGCTCTTTAATTCAAGTATGATTAAGTAACTTTTCCAGTGATATGCGTGTTTATCAAGTGGCTTAAACAGAGGAAGTATGTGGTCTTGTTTTGAACTGAACTTTTTCTTGGTTTACAATGTGTATGAACCATCCATATAAATATGGAGAGATTTTTACATTTTTTCAGCTTTCTGGTTACTGTGCTTCACGACTTGAGTATTGTTGGGTCAGGTTTTGCATTCTGTCCCTACTGGAAAAAATAGTTTAAAAAGCTTCTATCATCACTTGACTTGCTTAATTATCTGTATTTGTTTGATCTAGGATGCATTTTAATTTGCTGATGACATCTTTGTATTCTGTTCAAGTAGAAGATGCTGCCTTTTGTAGGTTTTCTTCATTAAGTCAAGGAATGTGAAGTAGTCAGTTTGATACAGGAGAAAAAAGCTGTAGGGTCCATATAAGAAACCTTTTTTTTTCCTTACATTAGTATAACTGCTGTTGTTGACTAGATATTTGGGGTCATATCTAGTGGTGGGAATTTTTTATGATTTTCCCAAGGCTATGGCAGTGCTTTTTGGAAGCTCTGTGAAACATTTTATCAGAGGACTTTGCTGCATGTCCTTTTCGTTTGTGAAATGTGTGACTAAATATTTTTTCAGTCACACAGCTCATGTTAGGGAAAGAGGGAAGGCTGTATTTTGGGATCTAGGTTATAATAAAGCAGGTAGGTTGTTGGTGTCTTTAACTGAGTTGGAGGTAAGGCTTGAATGGGATGGGCATTTCTTGATTAGGAGGGCTGGGGTTACTGAGCATGGAAAAAAGAAGGCTCCTGGGAGACCTCTCAGTGACCTTCCAGTACTTCTAGAGTACTGGTTAAAGAGGGGGCAGGTAATGATGGGTCAAGGGGGAATGATTTTAACTAAAAGATGAGAGATCTAAGATGAGATGTTAGGAAGAAATTCTCTACTATGAGGGTGGTGAGTCACTAGAACATGTTGCCCAGAGAAGCTTTGGATGCCCCATCCCTGAAAGTGTTCAAGGTCAGGTCGGAAGGGGATGTGAGCCACCTAGTCTGGTGGAAAGTGTCCCTGCCAACAGCTGGGGATTGCAGCAAGATGATCTTCCAATCCAAGCCTTCCTATGATACTTTGATTTACAGGGTTTTCATTCCATGTTCAATGAAAGGAGAGGACTAAAACCCTGTATTCAGGACTGTGTAGTCTGTTGTCTTACATTTAAAGTATGTCTTCTGATATCTCACAAGTGTAGAAAGTCTCAAAACAGCAGATAAAAGTTTACCTGGCATCATTCTTGAACATTGCTTGCCTTTCTGAACATGTATGTAAGTTATAGTATCCAGTGAAACTATTTTTAAGCTGAAGAATATACTAGAATATTGGATAATTTGGTAGTGATTTTCAAATCATTTTTTAATATAATTTAAAAATTAGCATTAATGAAATATATTTAGTTAAGTTGTACAGTGTCAGCTACACTGATGGTGTGAATTGTAAACCTGTGTAAAATCAAGCTTTTTTTTTTTTTAATGTCATAAATATTTGATGCCATGCTCTGGCATTACTAAAGCCTCTGTAGCTGACACCAGCGTACTTCTGATTACACTGGAACTACATTTGTCAAACTCTCAAATGGAAGAATGTGTATGAAGTTGCTTGCTTGTTACCTTCCTTGGGCTTCAGTTCTCCATTTGTTAGCCTAAAGCTTAGTCTTGTGTAGGGTGAATCAACAAAGCAAAAGTTGCTTGAAAGGAATTTGTAATCTTGTGTTATTCCATTGGTAGGAGTGTAGATTGTTCCCAGCACATTCTCAATCTAAAAACATGTCTCACTGTGCTCCACAGGAAAAAAAATCTTGTTAAGTATTTATCATTACTTCAATTTTAGGGCAGTTTACTTAGCTTCCTGTTTTCTTTAGTGGTTCTTGGTAAAACAATACCCTTGAAACCAAGCTCTCTTCATAACCATTCTGCAAAAGGCTCATGATCATTGTTGCCTTTATGAAAGACAACCAGGGGCCTGGTTCAGATGGCAGCACGGCGGCCTGGTCTCGTCCAAGCCACTCGGGCTAATCAACACATGCAGACACCAATATGGCAGACGGTTGAAAAGCGTTTATTATCTTATTTCGTGGGTTTAAATAGGTTTAGGGGTCTTTGCTACGTCAGAGGGGGGTTGGGGGGTCTCAGAGGATAGTGGGTAGTGGAATTTTACCAGAACAGGTGTGGCTACATTCTTCTCTGACTCCTGGGGTTAACAGATAAGCGGGGAGGAGAGAGGGGGGAAGGGGTCTGTCTTTCCGTGACATCCCGGTGATCTTCCGCTCCGCCTGTCCCTATCTACCACATCTCCCCCCTCCTTATCACATACAAAATGAGGTAGTTGTAGATAGAGGCATTGGAGTGAGGTACAGACTTGTAACTTGTTAAGGAAAGGGTGGTTTAGTAGATCTGGGTAGATTTTTTAAGGCAGGTGCTGAAGGCTTTAGCTACTGACTGTGTTTGCAGTTTTTTGGTTTATAGCATTTGTTGGTGGCCTATGAACAGAATGTTTGCCCTTTCCAGACGGGCTTGAACAAACGAGACTAGTTTGTTCAGCAGGCATGGTCCTATGGTAATAGCCAAAAGCAGTATTGCCAGTGGACCTACCAGGGCGGAAATTAAAGTGGTGAGCCAAGGTGATTGATTGAACCAGGATTCAAACCAGCTCTGCTGGGTCTCCCTGTCTCTCTTTCTCTGAGCCAGTCTGTCTCGGAGTTCTGCCATGGAGTCTTTAACGACTCCTGTATGATCTGCATAAAAGCAGCATTCCTCCTTCAAAGCTGCACACAGTCCTCCCTGCTGCATGAACAAAAGGTCCAGACCTCGCCTATTTTGTAAAACTACTTCTGAAAGCGAAGAGACTGATTTCTCCAGATAGGAGATGGATTTCTCGATCCTCTGCAGGTCCTCATCGATGGTCATTTGCAGCTGGGAGAGTCCGTGTTGCTGGGTTGCGATGGCTGAGACGCCTGTGGCGGTGCTAGCTGCTCCCAGGCCAAGCAGCATCGCGATAGTTATACCTGTGATGATTTCCCTTTTGTGGAGTTTGTTAGGTTCTTTGAGAAGGTGGTATGTTTTTTCGTCTGAGTGATGTAGGACCTTAGAAACAATCAGAACTTGGACACAGAAATTGATAGAGTTATTAAACTTGGCAAGGAACATATAAGGATTTACTTTGGGTTTTTGGCAAACTTATATCTTAAATGTGGATGGGACTATTTACTTATCGGTCTTTTGTGGGGAGTGTCTCATTTGCACTGGTGGGGGATATTGGCTGTGGAGTAACTGAAGGGGGTATTTAAAGCATTGCTTTCGTAGAAAAGGGGGTTTAATATCATAGCAAAACTAATAGGGGTTAGTCAGGTTTGATTTGGTTTTATTTAGAGTTAGTAAGGTAGCTTCTAAACAGGCTGGCTATGTGGAACACGAAGGATGGGGTATTTATTGAGGGTAGTGGCTTGGGCTAGCTTGTTTTTTTTGGCCACAAGCTTCTAAACAGTAAAATTGCATGAAGAAAGACACTGTGCATGTTTGGATCTCACCACTGTGGGATTCTCAGGTGTTGTCTGGCAGTTTGGTGGTCTGTCATCTCTTTCTGGAGCAGGGGTGTGTGTGTCGCAGGGACGGTCCACAAGCATGTCCTGCAAACAGAACTCACAGCCTCTCATTAGTTTTGTTTTGAGGGTCAGGTTCGGTTGGTAGCAGTGGTGTGCAGCAGTGGCTGTCATAGTCTCACCACATGGGGGTTCCGACTGCCACAGAGGCAGCACGTCCCCTACATCCCCGGGGGCTTTCTCCCCACTTTCATAGCCAGGGCTACCCCGGGGTCCCGTATCGGGGGCGTCTCTTGCTGACTCTGCGGCACAGGCGCCGTTATTTGCGGTGGGAGGGGGCTGGGTTCGCCTGCGCGCGCCACTCCCCCCCACCCCCCCCCACTCCCGTGTGTCCGGGGCTAGGACTCGTATTCTTTGGCGAGACGCCCTTTTTTTTCGCAGTTCTAAGGGGTATTGTGACCGCTTTTCGGTGCGGCTTAGAACTCTATTCGGTTTTGTTTTAAACTGTGCTGGTTCTGTATCTTTTGTTTTGGGGTTCCGGTCAGCTTCCGCCGGCTCTTCGGAGCCAGCAGAGTTGTTGCCAGGCTCTGCGGCGGAAGTTAAATGCCAGGGCACTTCCGGGGCTCCGCGCTGTTTTGTTCGGCCCCGGGCTCGCTCCTCCCCTCGGGGGAGGGGCCGTTCCCGCCCCCCCGGCTCGCCGCGCCCCTCGCGGGGGGTGGTTTTTCCCTTATATGGTGGCGGCTCCCGGCGCAGCTGCCAATTGGCTCTGTGTCCCGTGCCGCCCTCCGCCCCTTTCTCCCGCACGCGCGCATACCCGAGGTCGCGCTCCCCCCGGGTGTTCGTGCCGGGACCGCCCGAGCCCCGCCCCTCCCCGCCGCTCGCGGCGCCATGTTCAAACGGGTAGGGAGGCGGCGTGGCCGCGCCGTCTTCCCAAACCGTGGTTTCGGCGGCTTGGGCTTCTTTTAGCAGCCCTTGCCAGAAGCGCTCCGCGTGCTTTTGCGTCTCCGGCATCGGATCGCGGGCGGGCGGCGGCGGCGGCTCGGAGGAATTTGCGGTCTCTCGGGGGATATGAGCGGGGGGGGGTTTTTGGGGATTTTCGGCGGCGGGGGTGTCGCGGGGGGTTCCTGCGGGGGGGGGTGGGCTCTGATCTGGGGGAGGGGGTGTCGCGCTGAGCCCCCCTGGGTCCCCGCTGCCGGGCAGATCGCTCTCAGGGGCAGTCTGCGTCCCCGCCCCCACCCCGAGTTTAGGAGTAACTAATAAACACGTGCGCGCCGCGGTCCATGTCTCCTGCTCTTCTATCGCTTTGCGTAGGGCTTTTTCTACTCTGCCCCATGCTTTAAGATTTCTGCCGCTGCCGGAGGATTTTGTGTCCTCGGCTAGCGCGGCAGTGCATTTGTCCCATATTTCCGGATGTAATACATCCACGGGACGCTCTATTGCCCCTAGCTCAAGCAATCTCGCCATGGCAAGATGAAAATCCTTGAGCTTACACCCAATACCCCACTGTGAATAAATAGCACTCACGATCCTGGCCATTGCGTCCATGACGCCCGCGGATCCTAGGGGACGTCTCCCCTTACGCCTGGGTACGGTTCGACCGTCCTGGCCGCTGCTTCTGTCCAGGTGAAACCCGTCAGCCGGGCAAATTTTTCTCCTTTTGTCCCGGGCTTCGGCACCAGTATGTTGCCTTTATGAAAGACAACCAGGGGCCTGGTTCAGATGGCAGCACGGCGGCCTGGTCTCGTCCAAGCCACTCGGGCTAATCAACACACGCAGACACCAATATGGCAGACGGTTGAAAAGCGTTTATTATCTTATTTCGTGGGTTTAAATAGGTTTAGGGGTCTTTGCTACGTCAGAGGGGGGTTGGGGGGTCTCAGAGGATAGTGGGTAGTGGAATTTTACCAGAACAGGTGTGGCTACATTCTTCTCTGACTCCTGGGGTTAACAGATAAGCGGGGAGGAGAGAGGGGGGAAGGGGTCTGTCTTTCCGTGACATCCCGTGATCTTCCGCTCCGCCTGTCCCTATCTACCACAGATCATCACCTTGTTGGGACAGTATTTCAGTTAAAATACTAGTATATTCTCTAATAGATGTATTTTCTAATATATTTCTAACTGTATTTATGTAACTGTATTCAAATTTCCATTTTTTCTAATATAATTTTTTAGGACTTGATAGCCTGCTCGATGAAAATAGAATATCAGATTTGACCCAGACATACCAGCTGTTCAGCCGGGTAAAAGGTGGGCAGCAGATCCTTTTGCAACATTGGAGCGAATACATCAAGGTATTTCAAAGATCTATTACTAATGTAAAAATTTATGCTGTTACAAATTTCTTCTGTCAAAGCCAAGAATTATGTATAGGTATATCACCAAATTTCTGTTTTAAGTAAATATGGGGAGGGATGTTAATGCTTCTGCCTCAGTAACAATTACATGATAAGAAACAGCAACACCTGCTTTGGTTTTAAATTTCTACTTGGAAATTTCTTTCCTTACAGGTTTGAACATTATACAGGATGTTTTTGGTTGCCTTGCTTTTAAATAGAACCAGGTGCACATGTGTTTAGACTCTTCTGGACTGTACTATATGTTGTTTTGCTGCAAATACACTAAATGTTTACATACCTGCAAAACCTGCTAATCTTCTGCAGTTAGCCAGTGCTACTTGTAACCAACCTGCAACAATGCTGATAGGTTTTAAGGATGTTGGGAAGGAAATGCTCCTACTGAAAATAATTCATCAGTCGTATTTAGATGTTTAGGGTTTGTTTGTTAGGCATAATATCCATATAGTATGCTACCTCAGAGAGCTTGCCCTCTAGTGCTCTTTCAAGATGAAGGCAGGAAAGTGTCACAGAAGATTTTTCTCCCTGGAGTTGATAATTCCTCATGTCAGGGCTCTCCCCTGAATTGCCCATGTGTTCATCAGCCTTCAGGACAAAGTGTACAACATCAGTTAATTCCAGAGGTGCCTTTTCTGTGCACGTGTGTCTGGAGTTCAAGCATGGTCCAGCAGTGCTGCAGCTCATGGGAGTGGAACATGGCTACCCTCTGCCCCCAGAATTGAGGAGGAGTTTACTCCTTAGAGTGTTGCCCAATTGAATGGTGGTGCTGTGCCTGAGGAGGGTCCTCCTTTCTCCCAGATCATGCTCATCACTTAATCCTAGTGCTGCCTGCTGCTATGCAGGCTCTCCTGTGATCTGTTTTATCACAATACCTGGGCAAGGCCAGTTTAATCCCAGCTTTAATGAGCTAAAGAGACTCACAGAAAAGTCTGGTCCAAGGAAAGAAGTAGGAGTTCAAGATGGGTAGAAAATGGGGAAAGGAATCTCTCCTCTCACAACAGCAAGTTGTTAAATTGGCTTATCATACCCTGTATTTCACAGAATCAGACCTCTTACAGTTTTAGGATGGTTGTGTACCTGCTTAAAAACCTAGAAAACATTTTCTGTAGTGTCAGTAAATCTCCTTCTTCCAAACATCCTCTGGGACAGTGAAGAGAGGCTTCAAGAACTTCTAATGTTTTATCTTGTGAGCCCTGTGGTAAGGCTTTATGTTCCATTATAGTGACTCTTTTGGGAATTCAGAGGCACCATTTGGCTTTTTGCATCTAGGTTTGCTATTTCAGAATGGGGGGAAACCTTGCAATTTATGAATGTACCTGACAGAGATTGTGAGATGCCCAAATGCTGTATTAATGAAGGGGAAATTGAGACAAGTGGAAGATCTGATGGACAAGGTGACCATCATAGGTCTCTTCCGGCCTAAACTGTTCTGTGATTCTGTGATACCTGTTGATTTTAAGGACCCTGGGAGCCTCGTGTTCAGCTTTACTGTGACATGGTACTTGAGTGAGATCTCCATGAAAGATGACAGTGGCTAATTAGATAATGCCATGGAAATTCTGAGGCTGGAGAGGGACTTCTCCCTATCTTTTTTACTATTGTTGGCTAACATACTTCAGTTGGCAAAAATATACCAACTGAATACTCTTTTTCTTGTGTTGTGTCTTTCTCACCTTGGAAAACTGATCATTCTGTCCAGGGTACTGATCAGTGTTACTGAGTAAATGTAAATTGTCCACTAGGTGAAAATCCTCCTTTACAGGATATTTTAGATATCCATTAGACAAATGGTGTTCTATCTCTGAGATAATAAATGTAGGAACAGGAAGAGAAAGTCAAGTCTGTGGCTGCTTCTTGTGCTTGAGAAAGTTTTGTTTCCCTTCAAGTCAGCTAGGACCATTTTGGCTTAGAGCCCTTGATGAAAAAGAAATCTTTGAGGGCTGAGCAGCAGTTAAATTTTTGCTACTTGTTTAATTAGTTAAGCTCTGTAGTAGATTTAATAAAAATAATGCAAAGTTTTGCTTTATACATAACATTTCTGAGGCAAGTTTCCATTTAATTTATTTTACATTAATCATAGTTCTGTATCTCACTGTGAACTTGCACATCATAGTCATGTCTACTGTATATTGTTTTTACTTTTGTCGTAAATGTAAATAATCTTTAAATCAAGCACTAATGTTTGAAATCCATTAACGTGTGTCTAGTTTTTTCTTTTAATTTCAACACATTTCATTTTTTTAAAAACTTTAAGTCATAAGTAGTTCTGTAAAAAAATTTCCTTTTTCTAATGACAACTTTTATAAGGGTAAATATGTCTGTTGGGGAAGATAGGTAGCACTCTAAAGTATTTTACTATCAAAAGTGTTTGTTTTACAGAACTTTGGGACAACAATAGTGGTTAATCCTGAAAAAGACAAGGATATGGTGCAAGAGCTACTAGATTTTAAGGATAAAGTGGACCATATCATAGAAGTGTGCTTTCAGAAAAATGAAAAATTTATAAACTTGATGAAGGAGTCCTTTGAAACATTTATCAACAAGAGACCAAATAAGCCTGCAGAATTGATAGGTACACAAATATTTTTCTGTAAAATATTTCAAAAATCTGTAGAAAGCATGAAATGCTGCTGAGTGTGCTAGTGCAGTAGTGGTGCAGTCGCATTCTGCTTTAGGAGACCAGTTTTGGGACGTGAGGCAAACGTGACCCTGGGTGCGTGGCGGGCCCCGGGAGCTTGGGTGTGCTGTCAGGGGGCTGGTGGAGCATGTCACCCTCCTGTCCCTGCGCTCTGCTGCTTGCACGGGGCCTGCTGCTAACAACTGCCAGGGGGAAGAGCAGCTGTGGCAAGGAAAGGGGAACTGGCTTTAATTGTGGGTGTAGAGGAGTTTCAGTGGATGTTCTGGATCTCTCAGAAAGAAGTAAGTACAGCCCATCCATCTGCCTTGAAGGCTGAAGTTGGGATAACAATTTTAAAGCCTTCAGATACAAGGAGTTGTAATAGAGGGAAAAAACCCACTACCTTGACAGGAGAACTCATGCTTATTAAGGGGAAAGATAATAACAAATACTTTAAAAATATTATTTAGTTTATCCCTGATCGGGCAAAAGGTATACCAACAGTTTTGCTGCTGAAAAACTGGAGCTGTGGCATTTTACACCAGGAGTGGATACTGCTCCTTGGTTGTTTGTTTTTCCTCTGTACATTGTTTTGCCTTTATTTGGCTTATTTTGTGTCTTCCTTCTAAAATCAGTTTTATGTAGGACAGATTGCACAACACAGTGACACAGGTTAAAGCCATGATAGGGGCTGTTGTCATTTGTGGATCATGGTGTTCCAGCTCCCATAAAAGTTTTCTTACACAGAAAGTTGTAGAAGGATACTAACATGACTTAATAAATACTTAGCTAAACTCAAGGCTTAACCTTATTTCTGAAACTACTAACTGGAAAGCATTGCTTCTGTTGAAATGTTAATATGCTCCTACAAAGGAGCATGAGGGACATGGTAAAGGTCTATAAAAACATAGTCCTCTTTATGTCGTTTGTTTCTGTTTCTCATAAAATACATTCATATACATTGTATGCTTCCAAAACATTGTCTTTCAATAAGTAATGTGCTTGTATGACACAAAATGTGGGAATTTCTAATTTATTAATTTTAATTATACTGTATTCATTTTTTGCCTTTGACTATTCCTTTCTGCAGTACTTTTCCAATATATATAGTAGAGCTGCAGTAATATTCCAGTAATACAGAAGAGCTCTGTTATTCCACTGAATGTAGGGATGGGAAAAGGGAAAATAGAAAATGTAGTGCTTACCCTGTGTTTTAACATATAATAGTATGTAACACATAGTAGTATTTCAAGCAGGAGATGCTTAAGTTGGTTATTTTAGATCTAATTTTTAAGCTGTTACCTCATTTCAGATTTATTTTTAAGCTGTTACCACATTTTATTTATTTGTAGCAAAATATGTGGATTCCAAGTTAAGAGCTGGTAATAAAGAAGCAACAGATGAAGAGTTGGAAAGAATCCTTGACAAAATAATGATCATATTTAGATTCATTCATGGTAAGCAATAGCAATTCACTGTTGATGCAATTAAAACTGATCCCTTTGCTACTAGCAGGGCTGCTTCCCTCTGAATGCAAGAGATCTTTTTCAGTATGAATTTCTGCTCAACTCAATCTGTAATTCAGGTTGTCTTACTCTTGAACAATAAATATATGGGGGAGGACAAATAGTTCTGTGGAGATTGGCAAGTTACAGACCTTTGAGTCCTGTGAGTGGAGACCTAAGAGTTAGAGGTGTTGCTGGAAGATTTTAACATAAATTAGCCATGGCTGTTACCACAACTTCTCTAATGACAGTACAGACTTTTCTGTCCACTTAGGTATGTTGTAGGTACAAAGCATGAAAACCCAGCAACTTTTCATGGCTTGTCTTTTCTCATCATAGCTGAGAAGGAACATAGTGGAGGGCTCAGAATGACAGGAAAAAGTGTTATGGCTGAGTTTCACTGCCTTTGAAATGCATTTCCTTCATGTATGTATCTATCTGAGCAAAACTCTTGAATGTGCTATGATATTTTTTTTCCTAGATTGGACATCAGAAAAAACAGTGGTCTAATCCAATATAGATACGCATGTGTATCCTGAGCTGGGATGGAAAAGCAAGAATTACCCAGCTCTGTATTAGTTTGTCTGAGATCTATGGGGTTCTCTCCTCATAAAAATCCCAAACAAGTACAATATGATGGGAAAGCAGTCAAGTCATAAAGTAGTATAATTTGCATAATTGAATCATAATTGCAGCATTTTTGTCAGATGGAGATGGTGAATGAAAACAGTTGTACTGGCAGTTTGTCAGCCTAAGATACTGATTTTTGTTAATCTGAAACTTTCACCAGTTCTTTTTCTCTTCATAGTTTTTGTAGTACTGAGCTAAAAGCATGGATTTTATTTTGAGCTGTCTAGTACATAAGAGCTCTGATGATAAGTAGTAGGTAGTTTCTGGGTATTGGCCTTTTCAATAATAATTGTGATGCAGCTGGTTCATGGAACTTCATCAGGACAGGATGGGGAAGGAAGAAGACTACCATAACAAGCCCTAAGTTGGAAGCTGTTCACGAGGAATTATGAGGGGCTACTGTAGGCAGCACAAGTAGTGGCTTGGGTTACAGTAAATTTGTTCCTCTTAAAAGGGAAATACCTTGCACTGTCATATGGGAGAAGTTTGGGTTTAAGGTGTGAAAGTTTGTGGATATCTCTATGACTCATTCATTTAGAAGACCTTTTGGCAAACCATGTGAGAAGACTTCTGTTAAATTTTCTTTCCCTTAGGCTTTTAAAATACATCCTTTAAAACATAGAAAACCTCTGCCCACCTTTTTTTTTTTTTTTTTTAATAAATCGGACCAGTGGAGGGAGAATGTTCTTCTGGACCCCAGAGTAATTTCATGTGTTTTGCAGCTGATCCAATGGGAAATACAAGGCAGCCCAAACTCCTGGGGCAGAAACAAAAATAAGTAAATATTGTGCAAAATATGTTAAAAATGACAAAAATATAAAACTAACAAAATGTCTACGTGTTTTTCTTCATTGCTACAGAATGAATATTGTTCTGTTAATCAGCTTGTTATGAGAAAGGCTTGTGTCACAAACCTGAAGGCCAGTGATGCAGATAGAATGTATCATTTAATTTCATTCTATTTTTTGTTTCAATTTCGTTGCAGGGAAAGATGTGTTTGAGGCATTTTATAAGAAGGACTTGGCCAAAAGACTGCTGGTTGGAAAAAGTGCATCAGTAGATGCTGAGAAGTCCATGTTATCAAAGCTTAAACATGGTAGGTGTCTTCAAATGTGTTAAATTTGTATTGCTTTTTGGCATGCAAATTTGGAATCCCTATTTTCTCATGCTTTTAAGAAGTGGCGAGCCAAATTTTAAGTAATAGCTATTCAGCTCTTAACTTAAATAGTAAGGGAGGATGTAAGTGTATGTGTGTGTATATATATATATATATATATATATGTATGTATATATCAGACCTTTTATTATGCTCAACAAGAACTATAAGGCTGACTTCTTAGGTATGAGATGGTATACCTACCTTCTGTAGGCATAATGTACTTACAGAGGAGCAAAATCCTGAAAAGGTTCCTATTTGTGGGTGCTCTGTATCCTGGTAAATGTGGCTCAGCTGTCTCAGGGTAAATGTTTATCACTTGTTCTGTGCTTCTTTGTAATTGTGGGATCTTTGCTTTTTTTTTCATTTGTGTGACAGAATGTGGTGCTGCTTTTACCAGCAAACTGGAGGGCATGTTCAAAGACATGGAACTGTCCAAAGATATCATGGTACAGTTTAAGCAGGTACTTTAGCTTTTGTTTGTATACTAAATTTTCCACAGTCATGGGGAGGCATTTAATGGTGCTATCCATTGGATTAAGCTAAAATTAATTAAAACAGCTTTGAGCAGGTCCTAGTCATAATAATAGTGTCTACTTAGTGTTCTGTTTATACAACAGAATTTATTTATTGTATACAATAATTTTACATTTTTATTTTATTCCTTTTAAAGTAAATTAATCTAAATGCCACATAGTAATTTAGTTGACTGAAATCCTTGAAGTCTGTATCCCCTCTATCTGTATACTGGTGCTGCACTGATGAATTTTTTGTGAACGGCCCACACCAGAAAAACTCCGTGAAGGTTGCTAAGTGCACAGAAACTGTGAATGTCTCAGCCCCAGAGTTTCCAGCTTGTTGGTGACTGATGAATGGTTGCAGAAAGTACTGTACATGCTCACCCTGTTGTTGCATTTCTCTCTGGGTACTTGTTTTGGGGCCTTACTGAAGTCAGGATGCTGGGTCAGGGACCTGACCCAGGGCAACACCTGCAATGAAATACTGTAGTGACTCTTCTGTCCCAGATTTTGCAGTCTTGCTTGACTGGTGCTCTGCTCCAATTATATGAAACAGTTTTGTCTAACAGATGTAGAAATCCAAGAGGGTCGTTTTGATCTTAGTATTTGCCATGGCTTCTTTTCTTTTGCTTTATTTGCGTTTGATTAAAGCTTCTTTGACCTCAGCACCCTATATAGACAGAGGTCTAGAATATTTCAAGTCATGTTGATCTTTTCTTTGTACTCCCAACCACTTGCTGTGCTTCGAAGATGGGGAAGTGGTCATTAGATAGTTACTCAAAATCCTGATAGAGCATGTCTAACCAAGGTTGTGGCCTGTAAGAATTTTTAATTGTTATACTAATCCTAAATTTCTAACTTAAGTATATACATTTTCTAATTTAGTATGCAGACAGTATACTTGAATAATTTTTGTCTCTTGTATTTTAGTATATGCAGAACCAAAGTGACCCAGGAAATATAGACTTGACAGTAAATATATTAACTATGGGATATTGGCCAACTTATACACCTATGGAAGTCCACTTAAATTCAGAGGTTCGTGTTTGAATTCTTCTTCTAAATACACTTTACCAAATTAAATCGCTATCACATTAATGCCCTTCATGTAGTTTTTCCACTAGATATCTAAGGGGTTTATGTAACTTTAAGGATTTCAGAACTGCAAAAAATAGAACATAGTGGATAAAGTCTACTTTTTTCAGATTATTATTTCACTCACCGTGGGGGCTTTTTTACCTGTATAATAATATCATTGCGTTACTTAGCATTGCAGTCAGTTACCTAAAAGTTTGCTATTGGTCAGTTCACTTTAGTTTAGTCAATCTTTAACTACATTGGTTAGGCACTTTGAACTAGTCAATAGTTGTGGTTTTGCAAGTTCCTTTTTTCAAAGATCCTTTGTCTGTTCCCTGCCGTGTGTCACACAAAACTAGCCCCTGCATTTAAATAGTATTTGCTTGACAAAGGATTGTTTCCAAGTTCAGAGATTCTTGCAAAGATTCTTCTTCTTTCCGTAGCAATTTAGGTTGAAATGTGTATTTGGAGTCCTTATTTTTTACAATACCTTGTTTGATCAGATGTATGGGAAGCACTTCAGAGGACAGAGGTGGTAATGGGGTTCCCACTCAGTTTGGAAGATGTGTAAGCTCTTGTACTCTTGTTCCTGAGGTGTCTTTTCCTCCATGGCAGACTATTTCCAAAGAATCCAGCCTGAGCAACACATCATGCAAATGGAGGGGTTCTACCCCTTACTTGGAAGTAAGAGGGCATAAAGTAGTGACATTGGACTGGAGTTCCATTCCATCCACAAACTACAGGAAGGACTTAAGAGCAGATGGTGCTAGTCAGGGCAAAGGTGTGAGATGGATGCTTTTTGTCCTATGACTTCTAGGTCAGATTCAAAGTCCGGGACAAAACCAGTATCTCTTTTGAGGTTTAAAATCCTTTAAAGGGGGTTTATTTTACTGTTATTCAAAACAAGCAAATTCAAAACCCAAGAAAAATTCAGTTATTTTTGAATTGAGGCTGCATAGTAGTACCAGTGTTCTTGAGAGCAAAATTTTGCTCTTTGGATTAAGCTTTTCCCACAAAATAGCCTATTAGGAAACATGGTGGAGGAGAATAAAGAAATTACATGTGTGAAATCATTTTGTATCACTGCAAGATATAGTACTAGTGTTTTTTCTCTTTTCTTAACAGATGATAAAGCTTCAAGAGGTATTTAAAACCTTTTACCTTGGCAAACACAGTGGTCGAAAACTTCAATGGCAAACCACTTTAGGACATGCTGTCCTAAAGGCAGAATTTAAGGAAGTAAGTTTGCTTGGATAATGCTTTGCCTGTTAGGTTTAAATTTAAATCAATTATTTGGAATCTAATAATGTGTTGCATTTTTTTATAAAGGTACCAACATTTTTGTGGAGGAACAATCACAATTCAGTACTGTTATTTTGTAGAGAAAATAGGATTTTTATTATTAAACTAAAATACTACCTAGCTAACAAGACAGCATTGTGATACCTTTTGGTAATATTAATTTGATAGGAATTGTTGCTTATTCAAATAAATTAAATTGTAATAAAGTAAGAAACTAAAACAAGAAAAAGAACACAGCATTTTTTAGCTTTAATTTGGAATTGTTTTGATTGTAGAAATGCTTTTAGTATGCTTGGCATACATAAAGATACTGAAGGTGTGACTCATGTGATGGCTGTGGATAAAATATAAATGGTAGTTGAATTATTTAACTGTTAAATAACTGCACTGTTTGTTAATTTTGTTTTGTCTCATGCAGTATCTTGCTTTGTAATAGTACAGCTTCACTAAGCCACAGCAAAGATAAACCCCTTGAATTCTTTTACTAACTCATTGTGAATATTGAGTTAATTACAGAAAAATTCACTATTGATGGCAGCAACACCAAAATGTTATACATTGTAATTAAAATGAAGGATGTGAAGTAAAAACCAGGCCATTCTAATGACCTTCTGCTGTGTATTGTATTGTTACTGTTAGAAGAGGGAAAAAAAATGGTTTTATAAATATCCTGTTTCCCCAATACTACATTCAGGCAGATTCTTCTGCGTGCCAGGCATTCTAAAATGCATATCAATTCTTCTAGAAATAGAAAAATTAATGTATACTTTCTGTAACTGTCAAATGTAGGGGGTATAATAGAAAATTCTCTGAATATTACTGTTATTTGTTGTTTCTCTTTTAGGGGAAGAAGGAGTTTCAAGTATCACTCTTTCAGACATTAGTATTGCTTATGTTTAATGAAGGAGATGAATTCAGTTTGGAAGAAATTAAAATGGCTACTGGTGTAGGTAGGAAAAATACTTTCTGATTTTTAAATTTATTCATCAAGTGATCAGCAATTATGATTTGGTATGTGAAGGCCTAATTTTAAGAAATTTGTCATGATCATTAGGACAAACTTCATGTGCCAATAGCATGCACACCCTAAAAGAGATGGGGAAAACAGACTGCAGGTGTTTCTTAGTGTATTTTCCTGGTGTGTAAAATGGACACTTCACAAAATTATTAGTAAGAGCTGTGTGGCATGTAGTACTACTAACAATCTATTAGATTTACAAAATGCATCACTGCAATTCTTAAAATTTAAGTAGTGATAAAGAATGTTGTGTGTACAGTTTATTTTTGCTCCTGTTCAGTTTCACATACTATATTTTGAAAATCTGTTGTAGAATGTTGTTAGTTGGAGGTGATTTAGGAAAGTATTTTCAGTTGAACTGCTCGGAGAGCTCACCTGCCTGTTGCCCATTCCTGTGGCTGGGGTGCCCCTTCACAGCAGGTCTGATTTGTACAGAGCAGCGCTGTGTGCTGGGTGTGGACTTTGTAGCTCTCTGCTCTGCACTTGAACCTGAAGGATAAAAAAAGCTGAGGAAGAGTACAATTTTCTTTTTAACTATCTGCAGTATCTGTCTTGTGTTTTTTTGTTCTTGAGTAGGTTTTTTTCCCCTGAATTATTATACTCTCTTGAAATAGTTATAGCCAAAACACTGTCATCATTACTCTGCAAGTTTTGCTTCAATCAGCAGCTTATACCCAGTAGCCCTTCAACATCTTGAAACTTAAGATCAACCTGATATAGCAGTATATATATCTGAAAGAGTATTTGAGCCCTTACAAGTATTAAAATATTGTAATATATTTACTGAAAGGCTCTAAAATGGGGGATACCAAGAATCCTTGTGGTTCGGAATGATGCATTGCAGAAGGAAGTACAGCCTGGGTGCTCCATTGTCTCAGTGTCAGTGCTTCCAGTTACTTAGTCATCCTCTCCCTTAATGGCAAGGGAACTGAAGAAAATCCATGCCAGTGACAATAATCATCAGGCTAGTCTGGAGAGGCTCATTGGGCTGGAGTACAATGTTCACAGAACAAACACAGGTTCATGCAAGCCTGATCCAGGTCCTGATCCAGGCTTTCTCATCTTAGATTGCTGTCCCTTGGAGCTTGCATTCTGGCTGCCTGACAGCAACAGATAAAATCTGCTGCATGGAAATCCATTCCATTATAGCACAAAATAAGGAATTCATTAGACTGTTTTTAAGGCAGGTGGCTGGAATTGGTAGTTGGGAGCTACCTATATGTCATTGCACTGATCACCATGTCTGTATTTCTCTCCCCTTTAGGGAAGTAGTATAGAAATTTGGGTGATAAGGACAGTTCATGGTCCATTAGATTCCTGTGAGGCCAGGACAAATAGCACTGAATCACAGAATGGCTTGGATTGGAAGGGTTTTAAAAGATAATCTAGTTCCAGCCCCTTGCCCTGGGGGGCAAGGACACCTTCCATTAAGCCAGGTTACTCAGCTCTGTCCAGCCTGGTCCTGAACACTTCCAGGGAAGGAGAATCCAGAACTTCTCTTGACAACCTGTTCTAGTGCCTTGCCATTCTGACAAGAAAGAATTTATTTCTAATACCTAATCTATTCTGTTTCATTTTGAAGCCATTCCCCCTTGTCATGTCACTACATGGTCTTGTAAATTTACAAGTTCCTCTCCATTTTTCTTGTAGGGATTAGCTGGCCATGGTTGGAATTTGTGTTTTCCAATCACTGTTATAATAAATCATCATCAGCCTCTTTAATGAGATTGTTATTGGTACATTAGGACAGTGAGAAAATGCAGAAACTGTTACTTAGAGAAAGAATGGTCATTTTCTGTCTGATTGTACTTCCTCAAGATATGTTATCCAAATATATTCTGTGTTTTTACTTGTCTATCAAGGGAGCCTCTAGGAGCTATAGTTCTTACTTCTACTTCAGAGATTGATAGGTAATTGTAAATTCCTTCTTTTTGGCATACTGTAACCTGTGGCTTCACATGCAAAGCTCCAGAGTGTTGTATTTGAACAAACATACGGCTCAACAATCTGCATTTACTGAGGCTGAAACACACAAAACATCTCAAATGTCATAAATGCCTGTTTAGCCCACATGGTTTAAAGGGGTTTTTTTTTGAGAAATCATGGAACAGTTGGAAGTTTAAAAGAAGGAAAAGGTTGCTGTGTGTAAAAGCTTAAGTATTTTAAAAATAGCAAGTGTTAATCTTTTACTCAGCTGTACTTCAGCACTAGATTGCAAAATCTTTTTTTCAGTTTTTAGGCTAAAACTCTGTTCAGGAGATCCAACACATTTGGTGATAATGTTATACTGTGAATAAAATATTCTAGAGACTGCAGAGGCTGTTTCAATGCAAAATCTTGATACAAGACTTTGCAACATTAGAATGTTTAAGACTTCATTTTATCTTGTCTAAATGCTTTTAGCCTTAAATATTGCTAGATAAAATTTTCCTCACACACTTGTGTCTACTACTTGCCTGTTTTGAGGGAAGTTTGACTATAATAGCTGTCAGCTCTACCCTCCCACAAAACATCTTCTTGTCGATTTAGACTTCTGTATTTTTATTCTATTATGTTTTTTTTGCTGTGTGATAAAAACACTGATCAAATCTTGAAATAGGTGGCTTTGAGTTTCCTGTCATACACTGGCTTTCTTTTCTGAAGTCCTGTTACTACCACATGAAACTAAAGCAATAAAACTAAGTTTGTGTTAATGTGAAATATTTTCTGAAACTATTTTGGAAGGAAAACTCACTGAGATGAGCCTAAATCTGTCTTGCATATGTATATAATCCTGTGCATGCTCTCAGCATTTAACCTGTGAAAGACAAGACCAAGTTTGAAGGCTGTGAGCCACTTCATAATTGGAACTTAGTTGGTAGAAAGTAGCAACATAAAGCAACTGGCTTTTCAATTTATTACTAGATTAGTCTCATAAAACTCTTGATGTTAATGTTTTGTTCTGCTTTCTCCCATATTTGAACTCCTTCACAGAGGACAGTGAATTAAGAAGAACGTTGCAGTCTTTAGCTTGTGGAAAAGCACGAGTATTGATCAAAAATCCAAAGGGCAAGGATGTAGAAGATGGAGATAAATTCATCTTTAATGGAGATTTCAAGCATAAATTGTTTAGAATAAAGATCAACCAGATTCAAATGAAAGAAACAGTATGTACTTTTTATTCATTCAGCTTATGTATTAACTATTTATCTACACATCCCATATGGAAAGACAATCTCTAGTATTTTTTGCATATAAAAAAATGAATATTCAATTTCAAATGATAATTTTTAGAGTAGTCAAGGTGACTCAGAGGCAATAAAGACTTTAAAATCACTGAAATTGAAAACAACTTAGGTTGCTTCCTTTGCTTGCAAATTTAAATGCCTATATATTAAACTAAAAGGATCTTGTAGATGTTTCAGTCCATCTTAGAAGTTTCTGTGGTATTAATGAAGTGTTGGTACTATATTGAACTCATGAATCAAATGTCACCGTGTTACTTCTATATTTAGCAGGTAAAGAAGGCTATAAAAGTCAGGGCTGTCCCTCATTCTGCAGTGAAAACAAACCTTTTTTGTTGTATCTGAACTCCCATTCTTGACACAAGGTGACATATTCTATTTAACAGTGACTTGTTTCTTTTTTGCATTTGCATATTAAATTCCCTGAACAGTCAAACTGGATTTTGACAAAACTCTGCTGTATTTGGTCTGTCAAAGTGTTATGTGTTCTCTCAAAAATCTTCAGGGAGTTTCCAAGATTTACTTTTATCAAATAATGTAAAATAAGACAGTTTTTCCTTTACATTATCCTGAATTTTCTCTTTTACTTGCTTTAGCAGTACACTTCACGTCACTTAGCCCTTAGAATGCAGTAATGCATGCATCTGTCTCGAAGATAAATAAGAATGCATGAGCTTCATTTTATTGTGAAGGTTAACTATAGAGATAGAATTAATAAAAAGTAGTAACAGAGGGTGATATAATTTGTGGTGTTGTATTGTTCTTTAGGTTGAAGAACAGGTCAGCACAACTGAAAGAGTATTTCAGGACAGGCAATATCAGATTGATGCTGCTATTGTACGAATAATGAAGATGAGGAAGACTCTTGGTCATAATCTTCTTGTTTCTGAATTGTATAATCAACTGAAATTTCCTGTAAAGGTAACTCATGGTTTTTGTTTTTTTTTTTGTCAAACCATCCTAGATTTATCTAAATGTATGTAATATATATTTCTATTCAGCTTGTCTGTAAGAGCAAGAAATGTCAAATATCATAGAATTAGACTCAAAGATTAAGGTATTGTGTGAAGAGAAGTAAGTCGGAGTATCAGTACTACTTCAGTTATATACTGTGGTGCATTTCTTATGTAGCTTTTAGCAGTTTGTTTTTTTTAATGTTTGCCTTTGTATTACTAACTGTTATACTAATCTCATCTTTTCTTGTAGCCTGGAGACTTGAAAAAGAGAATTGAATCTCTCATTGACAGAGACTATATGGAGAGAGACAAAGACAACCCCAATCAGTACCACTATGTTGCATAAAGGAGAAGAATAGTTTTATTTTTAAAAATTGAAAAACTTAAAAATAAAAACCAAAATCATCCACATATATCTTTAAGACACCAAATACCTATGCTGTTCCAGACTTTCCTTTTAGCAGATTGATCAGGTTGATCTATTTTGTTCAACCAGCTGCATGCACTGCTGTGGAAAAGAAGCAAAATGACATGTTAATTGATCACCTTTGTCAAGACTTCTTACTCATTTTAAATGCCCTGGGTTTTTTTTTCCCTTTAGTTAATCTTTTGTTCTCTTGGGTTCTTCAAAATTTAGTTGTACAGTTTTGTTTAACAACGTCATTGAAGTTGGATGGAAAGGTAAAATTACCTGTGTGAGAAATGCTTTTGTCATGAATGCAAGTCTGGTTTCTTAATTTAGGTGTTCCTAACTGCATTCATAAAGTCCCTATAAATGCTGCATTCTTTAGCTACAGTTACAATTTGGGTAACTTTTTAAAAACCCTTCATTGATAAACATGTATGTACAAGCAGTGTTGTTGAAATACACTGAAGTTTTGCACCATAAAAACCCTTAAACTTGTGTTCAGTTAATATTCTTTCAAGTTATTACAAACTTCAGTCTGGTTTGTATAAATCAGGTTTTGAAGTGAGATTCTTGATGTGCCAAGAGGACAACTGCATTCATGTGTGTACTGAGCTGTTGGATTATTTAGCTAAAATATGGATTGTTCTATAATTACTACTTCTGCTGGCTTGGGTGGCAAAGATTAGATCCGAGTCAATGAGGCCCTACCTCATTTTAGGGCAGCAGGTGTATTTCACTGTTTCTGTAATTGCCGTAATATTGAGTTCTGCCTTGAAAATAACATCCAGGGAACCTACTGTACAGTGTGCTCTACTTTAAGAAAACAAAAACTTTTTTTAAAAAATACTTTTATGGTCTCAATATTGGGAAAGCATAGCTTTTTGTCTTGAAAGACTAAGAACTTTGTGAGTACTTTGTTACATATTGTACATATGTAAGTTGATTTGAATTAAAGAGTGAAAGACACTGTAGATCTGTTAGATAACTGTAAGGAAGATACCTTTCCTGGCAATACTTGCAAGACTGTTTATTTTCCTGATTTGTCTACTGGTATGTTTCATTCTGAAAAAGAGCTACCAAAGGAGTTTTCATCACTACATAAAGGAGAATTTAGCTAAGCAATATTTTCTTGAGAGATACCTTACTAAGTTTATGTAACATGGAGTTTGTGCATCAATTAAAAGGCCACTTCTTAAAGTGAACAATGCTATGAGGTGACAACTTGTGGAACTACATATTAAAAGTCCTTATTCTGTCCTTTGATGTTATTAATTTTATTGCATTCTGAATTATTTTTGTTCCCTTTGTGTTTGGAGACTAAACACGTTTAGTTTATTGTATTTAAAGCATATTTAATATTATAATTTAATGTAGACTTATTTTAATATTTGAATCTTCAGTTAATGCAAATAAAATCTTTGATGCATATTAAGTATTAATTTCTTAGCTTTTGTGAGAATGTGGCACTTTTTTTGAGATTGGTTTTTTAGTGTTATACCATTCACTTTGTAGTTCACTTTTTATGTATATGGAAACCAATCAGATCCATCTGACTTCTAAACCAAACAGGAATATGTGCCTCACAGAAAGGTAATGGCCAGAGAGCCTTCATCCACACTGAAAGCTGACAGTAGTGTGTGCAGTAGCTGTTAGGAAGCAGTAAGAATGTACTGCCTGCCCCTTCTGAACCCAAATGTTCTGGTTCAGTAGTTTTAAACAATAGCATAAAGCAGTGGTGTTATCCTGAAGATGACTGAAATTGTTCTGCTTCAAGAAGCAATGTTAATTAAAAGTGCTGAGATGTGCAGTTTTTCTTAATTGCCACAGACTGAGGGCTCTTTGGCCACGTTATTCTGGTTTAGCAATTAAAAATGAATTGTTCCACAGCAGTGGAAATTATGAAGCCTGTCTTTCTGTGCTGTACGCCCTTGGTATCCAACTGTATCATCCCCTGCAAATAACCTGAAGCAGCAGTACTCAGAGGGGTTGTCCTTGGTTCTGCCTTTCTGCTTGTGGGGGTGGGGGTTTTGTCCCTCATCAGCTGCTCATCTCTACCGATCTCCTCTACCCACCTGAACCTACAGAAAATGTCATGATCTCTGAAGACTTTTCCAGAATGGTCTGCAAGTGGTTTCAGAGGTTCAAAAGCTTTGGGAGAGACTGACAGGCCAGGTAATGGTAACTCTTTTTCTCAGGTCCTCATTTTCAATTTGATTTCCTCAAATCTTTGTTACTGGGACATTTTATGTGCTAAACTAAACAGGTAAGCAGTTATTTTATGAGTCAGCATGGAAATCACTTCTCCATAGTGAAATAGCTACACTTGATAGCTTTTCAGTAGCTGGTGTTAGAATTTGGCTGACAGTCTGCCTCAGTCAGTTCTTTGGGGGTCATATTGTCTGAGCATACCTGTACCCACAGGGCAGAGGTTGTTAAGCATTTCTTCCTGGAAGATCACCCAGTATTGAAGATGTTGGGCAGTAGCAAAGTGACAGATGTCCTCTATAGAGCATCAATGTTCAGGTATGTCAGGGAAACCTGGATCTTGGCAATTCAGTGTCCTTAACTGCTATAGCAGCTTCTATGGAATGACAAAAATAACAGCAGGGACCTGGATACAGCTGGGGGCTCTAACTTATCCAAACATACATCATATACATTTAAAAAGCAATATTCCCACATGTGACATGTTATCTAGCCCAACATTTCCTGAAGGAAAGCAAGTGTGAGAATGTAGGTTGGGGGCTGACTTAAAAGCACTTCCCAAGCCTGGCAGTTACAGCTCTCCTTAACCAGCCAACAGCCTCCTCTCTGCCCCTCCTTGGGCCTTTTTTTCTTAGGTTCTGTATTTTAGCTTTCCCTGGATTCCTTTAGTTGAACCTGGGTTTAGCATTTAACTCTCTTGATCTGCTGCAGCTTTTTCATCTTTTCTTTGTGCTATACATCTTTGAAAAAAAAAAAAAAAAGTTACTTTTCAGGTAACTTCAATTTGTTATGCAGCTCTACCTCTGCACTGCTCCAGTCAGAGGGACTGAGTGCTTGGAAAGGTGCCCAGTGGAAAAGGACCTGGGGGTGCTGGTGGCAGCAGCTGAACATGAGCCAGCAGTGCCCAGGTGGCCGAGAAGGCCAATGGCATCCTGGCCTGTATCAGCAACAGTGTGGCCAGCAGGAGCAGGGCAGTGATTGTCCCTCTGTACTCAGCACCAATGAGGCCACACCTCCAATCCTGCGTTCAGTTCTGGCCCCTCACTGCAATAAAGACACTGAGGGGCTGGAGCCTGTCCAGAGAAGGGCAGTGGAGCTGGGGAAGGGTCTGGAGCACAAGTCCTGTGAGGAGCATCTTGGAGAGCTGGAGTTGTTAAGGCTGGAAAAAAGAAGGCTCCAGGAAAGGAGCATTATTGCTTTCTTCAACTGCCTGAAAGGAGGCTGTAGCCAGGTGGGGGGGATTCTTTTCTCACATAACAAGTGACAGGATTAGAGGAAAAGATCTCAAGCTGTGCCAGGGGATGTTTAAATTTGATATTAGGAAAACTTTCTTTACTGAAAGGGTTATCAATCACTGGATCAAGCTGTCCAGGGAAGTGATGAAGTCACTATCCCTGCCAGTATTTAAAAAGCCTGTAGATGTGGTGCTTGGGGACATAGTTTAGTGGTAGGCTAGGCAGTGCTGGGTTACCAGTTGAACTCACTGACATTTGAGGTCTTTTCCAACCTAAGTGGTTCCATTCTGTTTGTAGGTTTATTATCTTTGGCAGGTATGTTCAGGAGAGTGGACTCTGTACCATGAACTTGGTTAGCCATTCCTAGCAATTCTCTTCCAAAAGGAAGTAACTGTGTGAAGTCAGGTAATACTCAGCAAAAGGCTATGGGAAAATAGTCATGTTTTGTGGAAATTCTTTCCTTGTAAAATCTCCTGGCCTGTACACTGTCTCCCTTGCTTGTACTCTGCCTTGACCTCACAGGACAGTTTTTACTGTAGTAATGGTTCCTAACTCTCCTGGGTGTTTCCCATGAGAGCCCATTCTGCATCCATGGCTCTAAAGAAAGGCCAGGGAGTGCATCCTGGTTCCTGTCTGGGCCTGTGAGCAGGCTGGTTGGCCAGCAGCTCTGTCAGATGAAATGTGTAGTGACTGAGTAGGGACTACATTTCCTTTCCCTCAGTGACAACACTAATCTGGCTGTGTATATAGCAGCTTTTACAGAAGCTGTGACTTTGTTTATGTCTTACCCTGCTATCATGTTTGATTGATGTCAGCTAACAAGTTATCAAGCAGTGGGGCTGATGGCCAGCACTGCTGTGCAAAACTTGATGCATTTGTCTAACAAACACCCAGGTAGTACCTGTATTGAAAGGAGGTGGACGTTGACACCATTAATAAAGGCCCAGTGAGCTAATGATCCACATCATGGAATGTCAACATCATTCTCTGCTGATAACCTTATGTTCTTTACTTACCAAATTTTACCACAGTGTTGTTGCTTTATACAACTTTATATATATATATTTTTTTTTTTTTGTTAGCAATCCAAGCATCTGCCATTTCTCCATTCAGAGATGCCTACTGATTTTCCAGCAGGGAGGCAAAATACTGCACACCAATTTTAAACCTTGGGTCGCCCTCCCCATTTGTGTTGTGGCAGACTCTGTTCTGCAGACCTTCCTCCATTTCCAGTGCAGGTTCCAAAAACAGTTATCCAAAATGAGAACAACCCATATCCCACCTCCATTGCCCTCAGCTCCTTTGCAGATGAGTCATTCAAAGACTTGACCGGAGCTGCTCATTATGTCCTTTTTCAAACTAACTTCTGCTTTTGACAATGCATGGAAAGAATAAAGATTGCTGGAAGTGTTGCTGGAAAAAACAAACTAAAATAATACATTACTGTGTCTAAAAATGCACGGATAAAAATGCAGTATTAAAAAATAAATATGTGTTTATAGCAGTAGCATTGAAAATTAAAAGTAGATCCCCATGCCATCCTAAGGACCAACTAAACTTATTCAGGATGTTTTGGGCAAACAGGAACTGTGGGTGAACTGAGACAAACAGTAAGGAAAGGTCAAGTTCACAGCAGCTAAACTTGACTTTAGCAGCTGGGAGTAGCTAAATTGCATTTCAAATGGGTTCAGTGTAAAAATGTATGAAGGCAGCTTGGGAGCAGAAATCAGTGTGCCTTGGAGATGATTAACCTGGAGCAGCCTGTAGTGGGGAGAGGGACTATGTGGCAGTCATTGTGAGAAAGCAGAGGCACCCTGCTACTGGCACACGTTCCAATCGTACTAGGAACAGGATTGAGGGAGCTTCTGAGGTTTCAGATGAAGTACGCATATCCCTAACAGTGTGGATAAAAGAGAGCATTGGATTACAAAGTGATCAAATAACCTGGGCTGTCCATCTCCATTACATCTGAGAACATTTTAACATCTAAGATGTTTAACGTTTAAACATCTAACTTCACCTTTTCTGGTTTTCCAAGAAAAGAAACGGGATTCCTTAAAAACCATCAGACATCTGAAGCTATGTGAAATTGCAACTTTTACCCATGCGGACACGCGTCATTAGCAGCCCCTGTTTTGTCTTGGAACACACGTGGCTTATATGTATAGCTGGGTATATACAGACAGAACACTTCAGAGACAACAGACCATCAACTTCCAGTGTTTACATACAGCCGGCAGGGAATGAATTCTGTGCGAGAGGACCGCAGTTACCCCCGCCCGCCTTCAGACTCCGCCCGCAGGGGCCAGCGGGGTCACGGCCCCGCTCTCGCGAGACCTCCCCTCCCTCCCTCCCTCCCTCCCTCCCTCCCTCCCTCCCTCCCTCCCTCCCTCCCTCCCGGCCACCGCAGCACCGCCCGCGTCACGTGACGGGCGGCCCGCCCGCGTGACGTCAGCGGTCACATGACCGGCCGGGGCCGTCGCCAGAGCGCCCCGAGCGCGGAGCCGCCGCCGCCCCGCTCCGTGCCCGCTCCCGCCCCGCTCCGTGCCCGCTCCCGCCGCGCCCCGACCCTGCGCCCCGTCCCTGCGCCCCGACATGGCCCGGGGGCTGCTGGCGGCGGCCGCCTTGCTCGGTAAGGAGGGGCAAGCGGGTGGCCTGTAAGATCGGCGGAGTGGCGGGGGCGGGTCGCAGCGGCCTGAGGTGGCCCCGGGGCCGGCGGCGCTGGACGACGCACCTGTAACTGGAGACCCTTCCGCCCGTCCGCTCCGCCCGCTGCCGCCTTCCCGGGGGCTGGCTGGCCCGCGGGGGCTCGGGGCTCTCGGGGGGCCATCCCGCCTCTCCCCGTGCCGGGCCCTGTGGCACCCGGCAGCCCCTGAGGGCCGCCCGGGGTACAAGCGCGGTGAGGGGCGGGGGGCGGCGGCTGAACCGCGGCACGCCCGGGAGCGCCGGTCTGAGCACCTGCGTTGGGTGCAGGGACTGCGCTCCGGGAGGAACCTGGA